CCCCCCCCCATGTATCATATACATAATTTTAATTATTTAAAAAATAGGGTTGTTCACTTGAGAAAGTTAAATGATAGGTTTTAGGAAGAAATCACTAGGAAATTGGTGAGACGAGGAAACGTAGTCAGTAAATTTTTAACGGTCGCTTATTTTAAATTGAGACTTAAACGATTCTCCTTTTTAAAATACAAGTTAAATCATAGTAGACGGTTGGTTTTCAAATTATAGACAGCTCATCTTCGAATTGCCCTCCTAAACACTCAAATTGCCCCCCTGTGGGGCGTGGGCCCCACGCTGGGAAACACCGCTATAAATCCATGAAGCAACATGAAAATAAAGTAAATTAACGAATACACTTTTTCTTCTTCTATATTTTGAGGGCCCATGATCAATGAATTGATCATTCTGGCTCTTATGTTTCAGAAGGGTTCGCGATGTAATTGTGCATGGTTTTGAAAGGGATACTTCAATGGTTGCAAGGGCTACTCAGCAATGATATTATGAACTTGGGGTTGGAAGACAGGAGGCCATAGACGCAAATGTGTCAAGTGTAGACGCCTCAACTGTTGCTTTTGGAAGCTTCTTTCGGTCTCGTATTGTCTTTGACAGGAAAGAGGAGCTCCTTTACTGAGTTCTTGCTTTTATGAGCCGGAGCTGCCAGTCATGGCCTCGTCGCTGTCCGGGGGGGGGGGAGGGAGGGGGGGAGTTTCTGTTTAATGTTGGAGCAGTGGACCAGCCCATTTTTTATCTTGTACATCATGGAGAGCCTGGATAGTCGTCGTCTATTCCAATGCCAGTCATGGCCTCGTCGCTGTCCGGGGGGGGGGGAGGGAGGGGGAGAGTTTCTGTTTAATGTTGGAGCAGTGGACCAGCCCATTTTTTATCTTGTACATCATGGAGAGCCTGGATAGTCGTCGTCTATTCCAGCATGCTGTCAACACTTGAGGTGTTTCTGTAGCTGTTCAGGACAACGCATACTGCCCGTCGCTGGACCGCCTCCAGCCTGTCGATGCTCTTCTGTGTAAACAGGTCCCAGACTGAAGATGCGTACTCTAAAAGCGGCTGGACAAAGGCTTCATAAGCCTTTTCTTTCACGCCTGAGTTGCCAATCTTCAGATCTCGCCGGGAGGTCCTACGTAGCGAGGGGGGTGCGGGGGGTGCGGACCGCACCGGGTGACACCATTTTAGGGGTGACACCCGATTGAAAAATTGCATATTTACAGAGAACACACTGCTCGGTCTAACGGAGATTCATAATGTTTTCCCCGATTCGTCACTAGTATCTCCCGTAAACATTTCAGCACGGTTGTCTTTTTCGATTGCTGAGTTTGACCTTCCACCTTTCTGTGTTGTGTTTTGGACAGTCCTCTGATATTATCGTCAGTAATTATGTGTTTGTTGTCTTGAACATGAAAAAATTAAAGCATTTTTATTGTTCAAGATTATGATAGCATGCCACATGGCGTGGACAATTCTAAATGGCCAAGTGGCTGTCAGCAGTGAAAAGCAAGCAAAGAAAATACGCGACTCACTAAAATCACTACAAGAATACATGCTTCGATATGTCAAGAAAACAAAATAAATGATGACCAGGTTAAGGGTTCATCAAAATATATTCCTCAGCCTACCATTGATACTGAGTCTACCGATACCTGCCTCATGCATTCTTTAGAGCACATAGTGGAGAAAATATAAGAGATTGGCGTGAAAACACAAGTAAAAGACATGGATGGTTTGGAAACAGAAATGTCTTCTGATAATGTTGATTCAAACCAAGATACAGTAAGTGTAATAGTTAATTACAAAAACTGGCACATTTTATTACATGCTTCTCTCTAGAATGTACCAGTTTCAAATTATTTTCGGTCTGAAATTATTAAAATATGAAGTACTTCGTTTCAGAACAAGGACGGACTGACCATTCAGCGTAGTAACAAGGCAAAATGCGAAATCTTAAGGAGGTGTGCGCCAACTAACAAAACAATGGATCTACGAGATGATCCAAAATGGCGAGAAAATACTGCGGTCGTGGATGGTTTATTCACGCGTCAGTCAGAAATTGTAATGTTTTTGCTGCAGATTATTTGCTTTTAATGTCACAGAAACAACATCCAAATGTCTAACTGGCTTTGATAAGTGGTTGAAAATGAACCGTAAATTACAAAATAACGAAGCATCGGAAGATCACCTATGTTGCCTTGAAAAGTGGAAATCACTGGCAGCATGATTTAGGATACACAAAACAATCTATGCCTAAAGTATTGCTGTGATGGACAAGGAGAAGAAAAAGTGGAGGGATATTCTGCACAGGTTGCTATATATCACATTGTTTCTTGCAAAGCAAAATCTGGCATTTCGTGGCCACAATGAAGATGAATCTTCACTGAAACTTTCTTGAAATGATTTAGATGCTTTTTAAATATGACCCAATGTTAAAAGAGCACCATATGAGACTAAAAAGGAGTCCAACCACATTAAAAAAGCACCCTTATCTTAGCTTTCACCAGAAACCCAAATTGAATTTATAAATGTCCTCACAAATCATGTGAATGAGATTCTTATCATGGATACAAAGGCTGCGAGGTATTTTGGAATTCTTTTCGAAAGTACACCTGATGTATCACATATTGACTAGGTGTATGAAGTGATAAGATATGTTAAAATCCACATTAGGAAAGTTGAAGTGTTTCTTGCTTTTCTCCCGTTAGGTTGGAAAAAGCTGGTGACCTCAGTTCTGACATTCTTACAAACTAAAAGGTGATGGACTAGACATAATGATGTTCAGAGCTCAGGGTTACGATAATGCTGCCAGAATGCCTGGAATCCATGGAGGTGTTCAGGCCATGCTGAAAATAAATAATAAGAAAGCAATTTTTAATGAATGTGTGGGCCATTCACTTAACTTGTGTGGTCAACACTCTTTTCCAGAAAATGCTTCATGTATTACATTATTCGGGACTCTTGAAATAATAATTTCCTTCTTTGCTGCATCCACACATCGATGGAATGTTCTAATTGAACACATTGGAATGTCATTGAAAAGATTGTCAAAAAAAACGCTTTGGAATGCTCATCATGTTAAAACAGAGAAAGATGTTTTGATGAATATGTGGCGGCGATTGAAGCTCTGTGTAATCCTCTTAAAAATAATTTGAATACAAGAGGTGCAGCACAAGGTCTTTTACATGCTGTCTGTGATTTAACGTCTATCTGCTATCTTTATCTTTTGGCTGATCTACTTGATAAAGTTAATCTTACACAACATTAACTGCAGACTTAAGGCTTTACTCTTGACAAAGTGTTGAAAAATCTAGAGGCCTTAAGATTGTTTCTGCACAAGAAGCGCCGTCACTTGGTGGAACACGCTAATGAAAAGGCACTTTTTAAAATCAGACCAATATGGAGTTTCGGTAGAGAGAAGATTAAGGTTTAAGAAGAGAATGGCAGGACAACAATTAATAGATGCTGAACTCTTTCTGCGAGAAGAAAACAATAGGGATATGCTGGAGTATATTGATCGCTTTCATTCTGAAATCCAGATCAGATCATCAGCGATCTAGGAAGTACCAGTTATGTTTGGGGCTGTTTAACCCAAAAGTCTAGTATCAGCAAGTGAAGAAGAAGTATTGTTGTCCGTTCCAAAATTAACTTTTTTCTATGCTGAGTATCAGAAGATAACCTTTTAAAAGAAATATCAAGGCTTAGAAGACATCTAAAAGCAGCTGATTTCTCAAAGTCATGGATTGGTCAGTATAACTTGATATTTTGAATTCGTAACTGAATGGGACTTTCTAGAATCTCTTCCAATACTCTTTCTAAGCCTTTAATATTTTCTTAAGATAAGTGTGTATGTGGCTTCATGTGAGTGGCGCTTTTCAAAACTAAGGCTTATCAAGAAATATTTATGATCCACCATGGGACAGTCTAGGCTTTCTGATGTGGCTCTGCTATCAATTGAAATTGATACAGTGATGGTCATTGATTTTGATCAAGTGATTAACAGGTTTGCAGCTTTGAAAACAGGGAAAGGAAAACTTTAAATAAAGGAAATTTAATGTGAATACAAATATAACTTAACGTTTTAAATACATTGACCTCATGACCTTCGACTAACATTGACAACTTATTGAGTTTGCATATCAAATTACATACTCTAGACTCTAGATAATCATATTATTAATATTAGTATAAGAGAATTAACGTTTTTGCGTTGAAGTTTTAAGATGATTTGTGTAAAAACAAAAATATTCTTGCTTCATTTGGATTTGGATTTATAGGATGAACAGAAGTATTTTGAAGTCACTGTAATGGTAATAATTAGGATGACTTGAATTTAAATACATGACAGAATATTTTATTCTTCATCGCCGTTCATATTAACAAGTTTGGAATTTTGGGTGGGTGTAAAGTGTAGTATCAAAGATACATTATACATGAATATTCTTCAACATTTAGAGAATGAATATTTATGATCACTGGTATAGTTATGAAAAGAGTAACATCTGAAATTCAAGCTTTTTAATAGTTTCCATTCAACTCAATGTGGAATGAACTCCAAATGTTTCTCATACTGCATCAGCATCTTTTGTCGTGTCTGCTGAAGAAGGCTCTTAACCCAAACGTTATATTTTTATTGTCCCGTCTTTACATTTCAAGCTTCAACATACCTTATTCCACCATTTCCTACTGTCAGTGAACATGTACATTTCAATATATATATATATAAAGCAATGGTGAGCAACAGAGCCGTAGCGAGGGTGATTGGCGCCCGGGAACAAGATTCGCGCCCGGGGACAAGATCCATTTTAAAACGCCCTTTTTTTATTCAACTCTCAAACCCATTATTTTCATCAATAAAATAATATCAAAGCACATTTTTGCGCCCCTAACTAACTGGCGCCCGGGGGACACCTGTCCCCCCCTGCCCTCCCCTCGATACGCCTCTGGTGAGCAAGGTGAACGACATTTTTAATCTCATTCTGTTGTTAATATTTTGTTGGGTTAAATATTTTTATATACTTTTCATGATACTGAATTTAATATATACGATTGTCTAACAACAGGTATGACAATGCCAGCAATTTGACAGGAATATATTAAATATATTATTATTCTGGATTTGAATCAGTCAGTTGCTTTGGGCATAAATTAGATTTGAAAATCAATGAACGATTATGAGTAACAGATAATATTTATCAGAAGAAACATGGGCGCGCCATAGATTTAACTGCATTAAAACACCGTCGAATGACGAATTTTAGAAAAATTCTGACCTGGAGCAAAAGCTGAATTTTTTTTTTTTTTAAATAATGTAGGCCTATACCGGGTAATTAAATCTAAGTATCACTTTCAGAATGTTTTTAATACGTTGCACATTAATTAATTTTGTAAGTCAAGTAATCGAAGTGGATAGCAATCAATCAATCAATTTAAACGGGAAAAATATCTGAGATCAGCGGGGCCAATTGAAAATGTACTTCTTTTGAACATCGAGTAAGAAATATCGAAAAGTCTTAACTCTAAGTCTTTAAATTTCCGTTCGATCAAATTACCGTCGATCAATATACCGTCGACGAAATTTATATCGATCAAATTTCCGGATACGACGAAAATGCCCAGTATACATGTACATGGCTTTTTGGTTCTCAAAACAGTCCACTTTGGATGCGAACATGTAGTTTGAATCGTCCACATACTGTCTTTAACCCACTGACCACTGCTTGAAAAATATTCGTTAGCTTAACTTAAAAGTAAGAGCTGTTGTCAAAATGTGTAAATACAGATATACTTGACATATTCTAACAAAGTAATCAATTCATTTAAAATATTTAGTTTATAATTTTTATTGTGTGTTGATGTACTTTAGAGTTAATAATGACTATACCTACCTAAAAAAAATATTATTCCGAATGTAACTACATGTAATTTTTATTTTGCGTTAAAATTATATTTACACCGTTGCAAATTATTTTATGAACGAAGGCGTTGTGTGTCTACCATTCCCGTTCACGTGTGTTCTAGAAATTTCACACACATACAGTCATAAACACGGCGTGTTATAAAACCGGCAGAAAACAACGATTCACACTTTAAACTTCAATCTACTTCAACATTTCAGACTTTATTTATAATAAAACATTGATTCAAATTCATAAGGCAAGTGTAAAATTACGATTTGTCGTTGACATCTTAATAATAGTCTAGTGAAGAATAGTTTCTAGAGTAGTGTAATTAGTGCGTAATTTTTCGTTCAATGTTTAACATGGAACAATGATGAAATATAATTACCAAATTGATTCATTGAGTGTAGAGTTTGTGATTAGACTCAAGCCTAATCACAATTAGATTAGGCAAGGGGTGTTTAGTTAGTATTAACATCCATATCACTAATACATTGTTGTCACAGGGCCTCTTAATTAACTTAATTTACTGATGATGATAGAAATAGAATTATACTAGTTACTAATGATAGTTAGTAGTTAGTAATTAATAATACTGATAATGATACTGATAGTGAATGGTAGTAGTAGTACTAGTAGGTATACCAAATATTAATTTAGTAACGGCATGACTTACACTTACCTGTACCTACATATCTAACAGTAACAGGCCTAAGCCTATTCTGATTCATCATAGTCATATCAAAGTATGCCCACACAAGTAATTTTAATAAGGCTTAGGGTGTAATTAGTTAATTAGGACTGACTACTAATATAATAATAGTTCTTAGGTGCTGTAACTGTAGTGTAATAATTCATAATTGCAATATTTACCAATTACAAAAATGAACCTAGGCATTAGCCTGCCTTAGGGCTTAGGGCACTTAGGCATTCCCAATATTGAATAATTCTGAATATCCTATTTATTAGGCCTGAATAAAGTTATCACTTTCATGATAACAATAACGAAGTGTCTATACGTCCAGCGCGCGGACAAATAATGTGGGAGATATACGTCCGGCGAGCATGTCACGTGACCGCCGGACGACTAGTAGGCGTTATTATTCCAAAGGAAGTAACTATTAAGAAGATCTTATGTGGTCATGTGGTAGAGTGGCCGCTTGACGATATTATATTTGTGGATCGATTCCCCGCTTGGGAACCCTTTTTTTCCCCCATTTTAATTAAAAATATTTTATATTATATTTATATTATCATGTTCATCAGCAACAGTAGTTTTATGAGAAGTTTTAAAATATTTTAGCAATTTAAACAATTTAAAATGTTTACTTTACAATTTAAAATCTATTACTTTGAATGGTTGCCTACTCCATACTGAATTCTGGCCCCTAATCATATTATGGGTTGCTGGTACACAAACTCAAATAACAAAATAAACAAAAAGCAAGCCACTTTCACTTCAGTTTTTTTCTATCATTTGCATGCAAGATGTACATTACTTATTGGTAGAGAAATAGATTTTAAAATTAACAATAGTTTTGAATCATTCGCGGTCATGAGACAAGGCTGATGGACAAAATATCTCTCGCCACTTTGTTACGGCGGTCATGTGACTTGGTGGCCGGACAAATAGTGCGGGAGATATACATTTGGCGCGCCGAACGTATAGACACTGCCTAACAATAAAATGTTGCAGTGACTGCTACTGCATTGACTGTGGTGAACAGTGTACTGTTGGCCTATTGAGTATTCAGTATTGATAGTAAATTACATTGATGATTGAGAGAATCTTCAATTTTAATAAATTATTAAGGAATTTATTGACGTGCAAGTCAAGTGTTCAGTATTTCATATTAACTATTATGTCAAGTCTGTGTAGGCCTTAATTACAACTATTTGATTCATAATTTTTATGAAAGCCTCATTTATATTGGATATGATTGCAGTCACTCCCCCTTATTACCATTATATTTTTTATTGATGTCATGTCACTATAACTCTATTTGTAATATTGTAATTCTTAAAAAGAAAAAAGTTACCCTAATGCTCTAACTCTAATTCTTTGCTGTAGGCCTACTTGGCTCTTGCCATCCTCAAAGCTTAATCTAACACTCAGTGATTGGTTTGAGCTCAATAGATTAAAATTTAAATCTAGGTAGTTAATTATTAATATGTCTAGCAAATTTTTTTTGTTTTTGTTTAAAGCATGTCACAGACCTGTTTACTCTTACGATTTTGGCGTACAATGTACGATTTTTAGATGTCTTTTACGATTGTACGCCAAGACCTTCCAAAACTACGATTTTCAGAGACCCGGTGGAAAAAATTTTTCCCCGATTTAAAAAAAATTAATAAATTTTCGGGTTTGGACGTTTTAGCCCTCTCTAATGAAGATCTGGCAGTGAATATGAACGAGAAAAACGATTGGTTGTATTATTTTTATTTTTTTTTTTAAAGTTGGGACCATTCTTATTAGATTATATTTCGGAAACACTCATGGGGACTGGGGAGGTGGGGTTGTTGATGACGGAAATTGTGGCATACGAGACACGCATGGGAAGGGGATTGGTGGGAGTGTCAAAGGATATAAATAAATAACCGCGACGCATCGTATTGATGGAATGGACGGTGATTGTCGTATTGCTGCTTTGTGTGTCACAGTCACAGGGAACCAGCTGGATGCGTCAACAGTAATGTTTGGACTAGTCGCCCTAGCGACAACTTCACTCACCATCGCCTTTAACTGCTACCAAGCGTGTGACGTAGTTTTGGTACAGAATTATTTTGTTCCTCAGAACCGCGGCGATTGTAAAAATAGAGATGGTTTTTAAAATAAAATAGATGATCCAACTCTTCTGCAGTGGAGCGTTGGATTTTGGCATACCGGTATTTTATAAGATCCAGTCAGCGACATTTACAAAATACTTGTATAACTCGCAAATCAGCTCTACGCCTTCTACGATTTTAATACAACAGTTTGGTTTCACTACCAGGGTTTCTTTCAGCTAAATCTCGGGGGGGGGGGGCACTGCCGCTCTCCCGGGCTAAGCCAAGTGAGCACCCCCCCCCCCCCCCCCCCCCCCCCGCCCACCACACACACACGACTACACATTTATTTTACTGGGAAAAGGCTGTACCGCACTGACTTAAATAAACGGACAGATGCGTATTCAGAATCACATAAAGAGAAAGCCCTTATGTACCGAGACGCACAAGTCCCCAGCAGTAGTAAGCTAATATTTTCTTAACAAGAGCAACAGCGACTGCCACGGCCGCTGTGGAAAGGTTGAGACATCTCTGAAATTTTGACACACGTTTCCCAGTGACGTTCCTGGAAACAATCTAAATGTTCCACTTGATCAATCGCCTATCGATCTAACAGCGAACACGCGCGTGAAGGAGTCAACAAATTTCTGGGGAAGTGATCGAGTGAGTGACGTAACTTTAGTTGAACTTTTACCTGTTGGAGGAGGCACTACTAAAACATGGATCTCTAGCTTCCTCGGCAAACGATGCCAAGCAGTATTGGTGGACGTTACAAGTTCCTCATTTGTCGGTGTTAAGTCAGGGGTCCCACAGGGATCGGTGCTAGGCCCCTGTTTGCTCCTAGTATACATCAATGTCCTACCCGAGAAACTGACATCCCAAGCGAGGCTATTCCTAGATGACACGACGGTGTATAGGATGATGGCCAACAGTTCTGACCAGGACCAGGTACAACAGCATCTCAATCGGTTAGCTAAGTGGGAGATGTGCTGGGACATGGAATTTCATCCTGCAAAGTGCCAGACCATGCCAGTGTCTAAAAGNCCCTGGCGTACGAAGTGGGCGCTCCGTAGACGGATGTCCCATTGTCCCAACATCCCTGGCGTACGCAGTGGGCGCTCCGTAGACGGATGTGCACATTGCGGTCTTTTAATGTTACCATGAATGGAATCGGCGAGCCTTTTGTTTTCGTTACCGTAGTTGAGCATGCACAATACATTACGATATGGCATCGACACAATGAAAGGCACGCGAAACCGATGATGAAGAAGGAACCTCAACTTAACATCAGATTCAGCAAAAGAAAGTTTATTCGCTGATATCCTATCTTGAATGTCAGACAAAATTGACTGAGTTACGTTCTTCAAATAAGGGTCCATCAGACGCAAACTGCACAGTCGGACTTTTCATGAGCCATCAATCAGAGATAAAAGGAGTGGTGTTGATTTAAGAGATTGTGTGCATGGAGCCGGTCTAAGTATTTCAATTTATATACTCAACACCGCCAGATTTTCGTAATGACAGTTCGGGTATGTTTGTGCGTGGGGGTGGGGGGTGGGCCTCGGCAGAAAGTATGTGCGTCGTGCGTTATTGAAACATTTCTGCAACATTCATCCCGAAACTCTGAAAGTCCAAAACTAACATTTCTATCTCGAATGGTGTCAACTACCAGCCAATGTGTAGTAGGCATTAGAGTCGTGATCTTGTCAAGGGGTATTTTCACAAATCAACTGGCGAGCTATACTCAATTGTGGAAGAATTACAGTACGGTGTTAAGTCTACCGAATGTTCAACGCGCGCATGACGTGTATTTCATTGGGCTACGCCAGTGGTTCTAAAATATTTGTTTTCCGGCGCCTGTGCAATATTAGGTTTTCACCAGGCGCCTTGTGTGACATTCTAACAAGTGCATTTGGACATAGCGAATACCAAAATAAAACAAAGGGTGGGATAAAAATAAATATAACACGTATGTAGGTCACTGACCGCCATCTGTAGCTACAAACAGTACATACTCAACTGGGTAACTGGACCGAAAGATGTCACATTGGATTAAAAGTAAAAATAAAATTATGAAATGTTTTAAATATTTCGCAACGCCCCTGTGAGAAAGCCGCAGCAGCCCATTTCGAAAATTTTCACACCCCGCCCCCCATTTAAAAAGGACAATTTATTGCGCCCTTAATCTTTGTGTAAATGGGTTTTTTTATAGTTGAATAGACTGTTTAAGTTTAAGTTCCTTTCTATAGACGATTTTCACGCGGTTGCTCTTCGTTATATTCTCATGGCCCTGCCCAAGGGCAGCGAGCACCCAGGGCGATGTAGTCCGATGTAGCATATATTATGTGAACCACTGGGCTGGACGAATCACAGGGGTGAAAACTCGTGTCACATTTTGTTTACTGTAACATAATATGTAATGGACTTTGCTAATTTTTTATTATTGTAATTGAGGGAAAAGAGGGGGGGGGGGCGTAAAAACTTCTTCGTGCAACGAAAAGGGGGGGTGTTACATAATAGACTTTATTGTGTTACTGTATTTTTATTTATTTACTATTGAGATATTGTATTGTACGATTTTGAGACCAGATTGTACGATTTTAGGGGTTTGAGGGTAAACAGGTCTGATGTCATAAAATTAGGAATAGGCCTACTACATAATGACTGGTTGTAAATTTTTTTGTCAACACTCAGCATCATAATATAATTTATTCTCCCTTATCACTTAGTGTCGGTGTATTGAATTGTAATTATCATTATGATAAGTTATCACACTTAAACTAACTAGATAACTGAAGATTGAAATTATATTTATTCATTAGTCATTAGGTTAGTTTGTTTTAGACTATTCATGAAACTTTCAACTCCTAGATGTGAATCCAAGAATCATGAACCATAAAGAATTTAGGAATTAGCTGGTCCATAGGTTAAATATTTTTCTTTTTCCAGTTATTCAAAATATGCAATTGCTTTTAATAAGTATTTGGTCATTCATCAGTTAATTTATTTAATTCCACCCTTATTTTAATCTATTTTTTACAGATTATTGCAAATGTCTGTGGTGGGCATAGATCTGGGAACCTATTCCTGCTACATTGGAGTGGCAAGGGCAGGAGGTATTGAAACAATAGCCAATGAGTACAGTGACAGATGTACACCGTAAGTGACCTTACCTCTGAACATTCCTAATCATTATTGTGTTATTGCTTATTTTTGTAGTGATCTTCATTTTTTTCCCCAAAAATATTTTGTTTTGAAGATTTTGCATTATCAGCCTTGCTAGCTTTACATTTTTAACTTTTTGGCACAGGTCATATGTATCTCTTGGAGAAAAAAGTAGAGTTCTTGGTGTGGCTGCCAAGCAACAGGCTGTCACAAACTTCAGAAACACAGTTTGTGGATTTAAAAGAATCCTTGGACGCAAATATGATGATCCCTTTGTACAGTCAGAACTCCAAAAAAGTTTTAAGCCCAATCATGTCGGCAAGGATAGTAATGGAAATGTTGTGTTCCAGGTAATATATATTTATATATATTTAAATAATTCCTTATTTTTTAATAATTTTGTTAGAATATAAAATGATAAGATTTAAAAATGATAATTGTGCTTTGAAAATTTGTAATGGTTGCTTACCACCCAGTTGTTGAAAATTGTCTTTTGTATTCATATTTCATCCTCTATAAGTAGAGAGGTGAATTCCAGGCTAACAGGTTTAACTTTCAGAAAAAGAAATTTCAATTTTCATACAGCATTAATGAAAAATGTCTTTGAAATGTATTTAATTTAATAATAAACAGGGTTTTGGGTCTTAATTTGGTATACTTTAAATGAATAACATTTATAAAATATATTAAGCATAATATTAAAGATAATAAATTTCTGGAATTTTAACTGATTTGACATGAAAAGAACAAATGTTTCAGTTAGCATCTTTGAAATCTGCTTGAGTTTTTTCAAAATTATTATCCGTAATGTTTAATTTTCGGAGGAAAACTTTTAAAAATAGGACATTAAAAGAAAATATTTATAGACATAATAGTTTCACTGGTAAAATGACTTTGTAACTGACATATTGTGTCTGAATGTAAGCAATAAAATATAGAATGCTTTTTCTTTTACAGAATTACAAATGCTTCACAAATAAACTCAAATAACAATGATTTAATGCTTCCCAACATGTGACATTTACCATGACAATGAAAATTGTCTATATTAATTGGATGTAAACATAATAAAAAAAAATTCTGTGAAAGTGTGCAGATATGTTCTAACTTAAAGATGGGCATGGGGTCATGTATGAAATACATTTATACAGCACCAAATTTATGCAATTTAATTATGTTGTGTCCACTTATGCATAGAATTCACAGAGACTAAGCTTTTTTTTTGGGTGGAAGGGGATTACATCAATTAAAATATGGTAAACAAATTTAAAGAATAATAGTCCAATTTTTAATGGATGTTTGGAAAATTAGCATTTAAAAATTATCTTTCGGTCATTAAAATTAGCCTTTTTTTCATACTAATTATTACCATATTTATATTCCTATAAAGTAATTTGTTTTTAATGAAATTCTGTTAAAAATTTAGAAGAATCCTCATGCTTGTTCTATTTCCCTTTTCACTTAAGCTGAAAACTGAATCAAAATTTCTGCCACTAAACTTTAACCATATAATGGTCATAAGTGCCAATCATCGGCCGTTATGCCCATTTCTTTGGTGTCACAGCTGATATATATTGGCTGTGACGGCTGTTCGCAAAATTGAAATTAAAAATGCATATTATTTAATCTATATTGTTTAAGGGGAAATCACTTTATATAAATGAGTTTGCTTCCTACTTCCATTACAATCAGTGTGTTAACATGCTTATATCAGTAATTTTTCATGATTAATCAGGTGTGAAATTTTCTCAAATTTTTTGACATAATGTCGGATGCCGGAGAGAGCCCAGCTCTAGATTTTAAAATTAAACAGAATTTCATTATTGGAAGTATTTCAATTTTATTAAAATGAAAACAAAGATTTCAGAGATATTCCATGTGCTAGTAATAACAGTATTAGCTCTAGCGGTTACGCTGAGGTAAGAGGCAGATATTGACAATTTTATCCTTAAGCTTAGTCGTATTGTTACAGACAAATTCGTTTGGGAAAGGGTGGAAAGTGAACAGAAAAAGACACATATTGGATCCCAAAGACATAACCCAAAGAAATTTGTGTTTGTGTATGTTCTGGAGTATTAATTAATAAAAAATGCATTTAATAACTTCAAAAGAAAAGGAATTTTTGAACTCGTTTGGTGCCTTCGCCCTTGTATTTTGTATGACATAATCTGAAGGTTGTGAAAGAAATTAATTCACCAATATCACAATTTTCATTGTAAGTGCCATTTTATGAAAGAATATGGATTTTAGTATTTAAAAAATGTGATTTTATGACAGTTTGAACAATTTATGGATTATTTAGGGTGTGTTGAATTCAAAAGTTGAGTACTAAAATTTTACTCACTCTGTAAAGGTCAAGGTCATTATCAACTTACATAGTATAAAAACTAATTCTTTTCATACCATGATATACCTTGTCCAATGAACATTCAGAAAATTTAAACTTATAAGGGTCTCTGAATTCATTTAGTCTGGGATTTTTTTCATTTTTGAGAAGCATATGAAATTGCTTAAAATGGCTTGATGCTATAGAAAAATGTTCTGACAATTGTAAGGTTAAAAAAATTTGAGCTCATATTATTTAAATACGTTTTATGACATTTTCAAAAGGAAGAAGCAAGATTTTTAAAATACAACTTTTTTTTGTAACATTTTATCTGTACAGTTTTTGTTTACGTAAATTTATTTAAATTTATACACCTTTATAATAAACTTAATTATTTACCTTATTTAATTGACACTACAGCTGAACTACCTGGGAGAAAAACAAGATTTCACAGCCTCCCAACTGACGAGTATGCTTCTCAACAAACTGAAGTTTACAGCTGAAACTTCTCTTAAAACAAAAGTTGTAGATGTTGTGGTGTCTGTAAGTTTTAACATTTAATTCTCTTTAATTTTATGTTTAAATTAAAACAAAAATTAATCTTATAGTTCTTTACAGTTAACACTTTAAGTTCACATGTATTATTTTAGCTTCTTTTTTTATAGGTTTGGTTTCATTTTTTATTCTCAGGTCCCTGTGTTCTTTACTGATGTGGAAAGAAGAGCTTTGTTGGATGCCTGTCAATTGGCAGGGCTTAACTGTCTCAGAATATTAAATGACACTTCAGCCGGTGAGTCTGTTAGGGCAGATGTTAGATTAACCTTAAATAATGTAAAAGAAACCTAGCAAATGATATTGGCTATTCATTGCAAGCAGTTTTGTTAAATCCATTGATATACTCTCCTTCATAATCCTCAGTCTTCATACACTTTACATAATTTTACTTGTAAAAAAAATACATAAAAAAACCAACAAACGTTTGATTTTTAAAAAATGCATTGATATAGAAAAAAAGTATTACTTTATTCATGTTGGTGTTGTATCCTTTTCTCATTGTTTTAATATTTACTTCATGACTAGCTGAGTAACTAAGAATGATTTACATTTTTTTTGGTACTACTCATTTAGATAAGCAACAAAAATAAATAAAACGCCAGGAAATATTTTTTATGAGCTTTAAAAATAAACTAATTTTTTAAAAATTTCAGTTGCCCTCTCATATGGCATCTATAAGACAGATCTACCTATAGAAACGGAAAAACCACGCAATGTTGTATTTGTAGACTTAGGTCACTCCTCACTGCAGGTCTCAGCATGTGCATTTAACAAAGGAAAACTGAAGGTAAATTTTATATTTATATACAGTATTTTAAAAATGCACATTGGTCTTCCAATGCCATGAAACATATAATGTCGTGCTCACTTTTACAACCGTTTTATGGTAACCATAATAGTCTGAAATTCGAACATGCTGTTACAAATGTTGCTGTTTCTTTTTTCTCTTTCTGGCATTGTTTAAAAAGGAACTGATTTGAATTTTTAAAAAGCATGACATTTGAGTAAATTGCTTTTAAGTAGCACTAGTGTACAGTTTAAGAAAGTAAGAGGAGAGTTGATAGGATTTAAATTGTAGGGTTAATGAGAGGGAAGCATGTTAGTAGGTTGTTGGGGGGGTATGGGGAGATGGTAAGGGTTGTAGTAACCTAGCATTAGGTGGGGGATAGTAAGAGTTATAGTAACATAGCATTGGGTGGATGATAGTAAGGTTTGTAGTATTTAAGTATGGGGGTGGAGGGTAAGGAGACAAAAATTAATAGTGTTGAACTGTATTTTTTAAAGTGGTTAATATGGTAACCTTTCACGTATCATTTATTTGTTTAAATGCTTTACAGGTGCTGGCAACTTCTTATGACGCCCAACTGGGAGGAAAGGATTTGGATGAGCTGATTGTTGACTACATGACAGAAGAGTTTAAGAAATCTTACAAAGTTGACCCCAAGTCCAATGCCAAGGCTTACATAAGGCTCACACAGGAATGTGAAAAACTCAAGAAGCTTATGAGTGCTAATGTCCAACCAATTCCTCTTAACATTGAGTGCTTCATGGATGACAAAGATGTACATGGCAGTATGGACAGGTAATCTTTTTATATTTATTATTTTGCTCATTAAATTTTAAGTCTTTACCTTCTATCAAATCAAGAATTATTACAAATAGTAGATCTAATGGTCTTAATTGCTCCAATTTAGTCTAGATTTTGTGTTGCTTGAAAATATAATAATGTTGTCTTGAAAATAGTTTAAAATGTCCTCATAGATGGGAATGCTGGTTCACATCTTATCAAACCACTGAAATAATTTTGTCTAAATTTGCTATAAATAACTACATTGATCTGTTTTTAATTAAATATATCTACTTTGACAGAGCTAAATTTGAGGAGTTGGCAGCTCCACTATTTGAAAGGCTTGAAAACACACTGCAGGCAGTTCTTGACAACGCAAGTAAGTGTCTAGGATATAAGAGCTTTTATATCTACACATTTTTCTTTTAGTCATTCTATCACTTGGTAAATTTTTAACATTTATTTTGATACTAACAAGCAAACTATTGATATATTTTCGTTTTAATATTTAATCTCTTGTTCAAGAGCTGAAATCTTCTGATATTGCTTCTGTGGAGATTATTGGAGGTGCTTCTCGAGTTCCTGCATTCAAATCAATTGTACAAAAAGTTTTTGGTAAGGAACCAAGTACCACTCTAAATGCTGATGAAGCTGTTGCTCGTGGCTGTGCATTAATGGTGAGTACAAGTTATGTCATAGATTCCTATCCCAATCGGGTCGAGAAGGGTTTTCTGGGGGTCTGCCTGCTGCAATATGGAACTAAAAAACATAGAATAAGGTTGTTTTATAAATGTTCCTTTTTTAATCAATTCAAAACATGTCAATAATTTGGGTCAGTTGTGTTAATCATTTGATTATTTGCTCATCTGTAAGAGTGAATTTTAATTTGGACAATTTTTAATGGGTCAAATTTAGATGTTTAATAAGTCTTTGAATTTACTAGGTGTGTTGAAAACGTAATGTATATTGGGTTGATACATTTTTGAAAAAGTAAGTATAGTAAATGGTGACTTATGAATTTATTTTTGAAAAATCTATTTTTATCTGAGCTTTTTAAACTAACATCTTTAAACAGAATTTACACTGATCCATGTACATGGGCTCAAAATAATTTTTTATATTGATTTAAAAATTAAATGAATTATTTAATTTTATCATTCCTTAAAGTGTGCGATCTTATCCCCCACATTCCGAGTGCGAGACTTCAATATCACAGATTGTCAGCCTTTTCCAATAACACTATACTGGCAACCACAAGGACAAATGGATGAGGACAGGTAGGAATCCTTTATTTCGCAAACACTTTCTGGGATGATTGTCTACCATATTTTCCATTTAATGCATATTAGATGTGTTGCTCACGGTTGAAATGGGTTGAAAGACTTTGACAATGTATGCTTGTAATTAGTTTTTGTAGTATTGCGTTTGTTTTAAATGTGGTAAATTATAGATTTGTTTTTTGTTGACTTTGTACCGCGCTTCGAGCCTTTGGGGATGAAGCGTGTTTTTGAAATGAACTTTATTATTATTATTATTATTGAAACTGAGGGCATTAAACATTCTTTACATCATGAAAGAGCATACTGTATTTTAATAATGTTCTTCAATTGTGAGGCATCCTAAGCTAGCCCTAGTGATATGCCTCCTATAGAATTATATTTATCATTGTTCTATTTTCAGTTCCCTTGAAGTTTTCTCTCGCTTTCATCCTGTGCCATTTTCCAAAATGCTGACCTTCTATCGGAAAGAACCATTTACTTTGACTGCATCATACTCAAACAACAGTGGCATACCTTATCCGAGTCAAGAGATAGGTAAGTCTATTAAAAATCTAGTGTGTTATACTCGAGAGAATAACTTTTTTCTTAATTCAGTGCTTTCTTGCTGTTACTGTACATACTCGTTTATAATCCCGTTTGTTCAGACCCCATTAGTTTTTGCTGAGAAAGCCTGCAGTGTTTAACCTGCTCATTAGCCAACCCCCATAAAATAATATGCCAGTAGAACAATATAGTACTAAAGAGAATAATTTATTTATTAAAAAAATACAAACTTATATAAATATTTATTGTGTAAGTAAAAAGTCCATATAAAAATTAATAAACATACAGTATTATGTTTACCACAGATAATAGCTTCGCCTGTCTAACGGTATATACCATAACCAAACTGAACATTTCCAAAAATAGGACCTCAGAAATATACAGAAACAATTTCATTATCTAGGGTAGCTACTTAGATAATCTCTCAGCACATTTCTTTGTTTTCTATAATACACTCAATGTACCTTAAGTTTTCTATGATCAGCTCATAAGCCAATATTCCCTGCTAATGAGCTCTTATTCCCTGCTAATGAGCTCTTATTCCCTGCTAATGAGCTCTTATTCCCTGCTAATGAGCTCTTATTCCCTGCTAATGAGCTCTTATTCCCTGCTAATGAGCTCTTATTCCCTGGTTTTTTGTTGTTTTTTTTGTCGTTTTATGAACAGTTATATTAGATATCTTTTGTTTAACCATCTTTTAAACCTTTCAAAGAATAATTATGTTTAGTGATAACTTTCTTCAGTTCTTGATTCTTTATATATTAAAATTTTAATATTTTGTATTGCCACCCCACCCCTGCCTAAAAATAAATGTCACAAATAGGCTGAAAATGATCTTTTTAAGAAGGAAACAATTTAGTACAACATTGGAATTAAGACATCGGTATAGCGTTCTGAATATACCTTCATTTTATTTTTTTTGCATTGGCATTCCAGGCACATTCAAGATCAACAATGTTGCACCTCAAGCTAATGGAGACAGTTCCAAAGTTAAAGTCAAAGTACGGGTGAATGCACATGGTATTTTTACAGTTGTCTCAGCCAGTATGTATGAGAGGCTTGAGGGTTCTGATGATACTGATGAGGTCAAGGACAACATGGAGGTGGATGAAGACAACAAAAAGAAGGATAACAGTACAGGAGATACAGTTGTAAATGGAGAGCAGGTAAGCATGAACATCATTTGTTCAGGAAGATTTCATTCTATGTAAGTAAAACTTTGATAACTTGGGTTTAAATGAACACCACTACAAACATGATTATCTTAAGTCTATGGTGCACCGTTTATTTCTCCATCACAATTTTATGACAACTCTGGGTTGTTGGGTAAATGTTTTGATACCATAACCAGGCTTGCTTTTAGATTTTATTTCTTAGTCCATTTTATCACACTTCGTTGACTCTAATTGTGTATGTGGAGGGGGTGTGTAATCAACTGCTTGACATTAAATTAAAAAATAAAAAATAAAATTTTGGTTTTCCAGCAAAGTCCAACAGAAATGGATCAATCATCTTCCAGTGAAACACAGAACGTTGATGATAATCAAGAATCACCTGAAAAGGCCACAGAGGGAAATAATTCGGTAAGGCTCCACGAAAGGTTTACAGAGGTATACCCTAACTTGCAGCTTTATGGGTCATTTAGTATGTGAATAAATAGTGGAACAAGAGGTTTAGGCTTAAAAAAAGAAAAACAGAGCAATTAATGGACGCTTCAGCTTAATGCCTTCTTCAGCAGACAATACAAACATCAAATTATTTGAAATTAAAATCTTAAGCATTCCCAGATGACAATGTGGCTCCTTTGTCTTTGTGCAGAAAAAAAGGTGCACTATATTAACAGAAGTAAGTTAATCTAAGTCACATAATTTTGTGGTGCGTACTGTCAAGGTAAACGAATTAAGTAAATTATGTAAACATATTATTTGAAACTACAAAAAGATAAGAGTAGATATGGAGAAAAATTGAGAACCACTAACTTGATTCCATATGGTTATATGGTGCAGAAAAACTGAATTAGTTATCATTCCTCAATCTCATGAGTTTATTAGTACAAGAAATTAGTAGCGGGATGGATACATATGATGTTCCTGTGTGTTCACCTTTGTTTAAATGGGATGAGGCCGAAATGGCTTGTTTTTTCAATATCTCAAAGATGTTCACTGAACTGAACCTATTAGATAGCCTTCTTCCCATCTCACCTATATATATAGCTGTGGTATCTTCTGCAAACAATCACATGGGTCACATTTCGCTCTGATACATCTGAAGCCCCCATTGATAGTAAAGGTCCCCTTAGAGAAGCCAATATGTTTTCCAGTACATAGGGGCAAGTCCTTCAACGGATTCTTGAACATGGCTTAGTTCCAACGTGAGAAGTCACTAATTTCATTTGCCTTATCTAAAAAGTCTTCATCTGATTGGCAAGGGTGACATAGTCTAAGAAGTTTGGAAAAAATTATGGGGTCTTTTGACAATTTGGGGTGGGAGGATGAATACAATAAATAACTATAGCTGTCATTTGGTAGAGGTGAATAATCCTTTTTCTTTTAAGATAATGTCCAGAAAGTTTACAGAAGAAATATTTTTGGAAAACTGATTAAAATTGTTTAGTTATCTAATGACTGACATACTCGGCTTTCCAAACAGCATTCAGAGGAAAGGGAAAAGAATTTAAAAGTTATCTTACCGGTACTGCCTTGTTTATCATGGCTTGCATGTTAGGATGTGTTTTTAATTGTATTTTCAGGTGTTCGTAATTTAGAAGAGTGTTAAAAAAAATCAAAGTGCCTGTGCTAACTTACATTTTCAATATAAGCATATGGCAATCAAATGTGCTGTTAGTTTTGTGTATGACTGCACAAACATTTTAGTCAAGTTTTTCATTACTTTCTAATATTAAGATGAACATAATATCTGTACAAAATTAGCACATGATATAATTGCATGAAGCAGGGATAGGAATCATTCAGGGAAATGTTAACATTTGATTAAGCACTGATGCAGAATCTGCAGTAACATATACAGACTTCTTACAATTTAGATGACTTATTCATATAAAGTTTTGCCTTTGTTGCATGTCTGTCTTCATTTGGTTTACTAATGTCTAAAATTCACTGCCAGCATCTCCATGGCTGTATGTCTCAGCATCATCGATTGTCTGCTCGGGTATCAGGTTGTAAAGTCTCAAATACAGGTTATATTAATTGCAAGATGAACTGCAGTCTTTCGTGGGAAGATTCGTTGCTTCATGGTCCAGTCGGTTACAAGGAAAAAATGAAAAGGAGAATTAAAAGTCTGAAAAATTGTTTACGTTTAATTCTCCAGGAGGCCACAGACAAAAAAGCTGCATCAAAGAAAGTTAAGAAGACTGTGAAAACTATTGACCTCCCCATCGAAGCTAATGTTCCACAACTGTCCAAGGATCAAATTAATAATCTTATGGAAAAAGAAGTAAGAAATCGCTTTTTAACATTTCAAAACTTGTTTTCCTCATCAACTAGTTAATCATGTTATTTTTACTTGATTTTGAAATTTAAAATTAATTCTTTGAATCTATTTTTAGGTATGGTAGCAAGTATCTAATACAGGCCTAAGGCTGATATAATATAAAGTCTTTTTTCCTTGTAGAAAGAATGAGTAAAATTAATTTTTTATTTTCAGAATCAAATGGTGATGCAAGACAGGCTAGAAAAAGAGAGGGCAGATTCAAAAAATGCTGTTGAGGAATATGTTTATGAAATGAGAGAAAAATTGTACAGTGTATATGAAAATTACATAACAGATGATGTAAGTTTATTAAATTTTTATATCAGTAACTACGGTTGTAATCCAAGCATTGCACGTGTGTTTAAGAGAAAATCAAATAAAAAATTTAGTCAATTAATTACTAGTCTTAATTCTTTGTCCCCAGAATTATTTTCCTCATTCTGACGGACTGGTCTATTTTTAATATTTGTAATGCACAACTATGTTATCTCTAAACATTCATAACATTTTTGTTTTTCATTAGAAAATGTTAAGTTTAGCATGGAATTAAAGGGGAATGCATGCTGTTTAGATAAAATATAGACTTGGATTTAAATTTTAATATATAAATGTAATTATGATTCAAGAAAAAAGTTTTTAAAAATAAAACTCAAGAGTTTGCAAAACGCTCATTCCAAGTCACATAAAAAGAATATTATTATCCAAATTGTAACAAGAATGTTTTTTTTTCTGAAGTATATCCATATGCGCATCACAAAAAAGAAACATAACATTAAAAAAAATTTAAAAGTGAAACACCAGGGCACATTATCCATTATCATCACAGACACACAAAAAAATTTCAGAAAAAAACTATTTCCACTGGAAACAATTAGTTGCCACTAGAAAAAATTAGCACTATATCCTTGTATTTATTAACATTTATTATGGTGTATACATCCCATTGACCAAAAGTCACAAACAAAGGGATGAGAATTCATCCCCATCATTGTTGTAACTCTAGATTATTGACAGGTTTCCACTTTTTAAACATGCAACTCAAGCATGTTGGAGTGTTCATTTTAATTCTGTAGGAAGCATAATCATTTATTGAGAGTACAAGCTTGTGAATAATGTGTATGTCTAGCAAAGTAAAAAAAAAACAGGTAAAGGTAAAAATCTGAAATTGCACTCAGTTTTAGTGCCAAGATCAGCAACTTGTCAATAAGAATCTACATTATTTATAACAGGCACAATATTAGTTCTTCTACAAGGCACTTTAGCTGGTGGGGTGGGACTGCTTCTTATCAATTTCATTATTACTTTCTTCACTAGTACAACTACTACTAGGATTATATGATTCATCAGCCTCTGCATTTGAAATCATAAAATCATTGAGCCTTTATAACTGACTTTGTTACTAGCCTTTATAATTGAATTTATTACCCAGCCTTTATAACTGACTTTGTTACTAGTCTTTTTAATTGAATTTATTACTAGTCTTTATTACTGAATGTTCATGTCATTTCAGGATCGCAGTCAGTTTACTGTCAAATTGGAAGATACTGAAAATTGGTTGTATGAGGAAGGGGAGGATCAAAATAAACAGGTTTACATTGACAAGTTGATGGAGCTAAAGGTGAGAAATTAGATTGATTTTTAAAAATATAAATGCAATTTTTCATTGTGGGATGCTAACACTTGTATCTAGTCATATTTAAAAAAAAATTTTTGAACAGGACACCTTGAAATAAATTATCCTTGCAGTATGAAACTTAACATTTTTTTTCAGTACATATTTAACCCTTTACAGGGCACATGATTTTCCTGTCTTTAACTCTGAATGGGCAACATTTTTCCGGTTTTTAGTAAGATTTAGGGTTACCTTAGTAAACACTTAAAATCTAAGGTGTTGGTGAACAAACTTAAATGAAATAAAAAAATAAAATAAAGGAAAATCAGTGCAGATTTATTGTTTTACTCACATATGAAATGAGCAAGCCAATGTTGGTAGTAATCCACACATAAACACAAATATTAACAAATACAACTTATTGTTTGTGATTGTCATTCATCGATACACTATTTACAAACACTCTGCCAAGAAATGTGGACACTGCTTACGCTGATAATGTTAAATAATTTTATTATTATCTCGCTCCGATTCATAGTCAATTTCGTGCATTTCAATGTCATTTAAATTGAATCCAGCGAACTCTCTGATATCACTTAAAGAATCAACAAAATCCATTTTGAAAAACTAAGCATTAAAACCCTGAAAACAGTAAAGAAAATTAGATACAATTTAAAGAAAACACTTGTAACTGGCACCCACGCTATCAAGCTATCTGCAAAACTGGAAGTAAACAATGGGAAGTCTCGCAAAGTATTGGAGGTCGCGTGGTTACAACCTTTAGTTGTCACGGACGCTTTTCAGATGTTTTGCCCTTTTGGTAGTAAAGATGTTTTTGGTCACTGTGCCCTGTAAAGGGTTAAACAACCTCTCCACAAAATTAAACCCATTTAGGAGGGGAATACTATTTATCTCTTATTGTTATGGGCACAAATCTAATTTTTCTAGGCTCATATTGCTTCTGTTATTATTTGGTGTGAATTTTTAATGGGTTAATCAGATTCATAATTTAAAAATTGTTTTTATAAGTCAGCACTTTTAGTATTGAGACTCAAAGTGTTTTGAACAAAATCAAGAATACAATTTTCAAATATCAATCCTAAAAATCTTGGTTTTTTGGATAACAGAAGTTGTAAAATCATTTTTTTCTCTTGTAAAAAAGTCCAAAGTAATTAAGTGGTTAAATAGGGTATAACTTCATTTCAGTCTTTTTTTTGTACAGTGCTCTTTTGTAAATAATTATCTTAAAGTCCTGCATTTATGCCTTAGACTCTTCAAAGTTATTTATCTTTAGGTCCTTTACCATAAAAAAGCTTGATTACGACTTTGTTTCAGAAAATTGGTCAACCTGTTGTTGACAGATACAGAGAAGCACTGGAATGGCCTATAGTTAGAGATGAAATGGGATCCACACTTCAGCAAATTAGAAAATTCTTGGATCAATGGGCACAGAAGGTAAAGAAGTCTCTGCCATGAGGTTTGATCCACCAAAGCTTGCTTTACTGCTAACATTACTGAATATAACTCTGAATGGTTGTTAGAAAAAAAAAATCAGTCCAGTTGTGATACATATTTCTTTATATAGAGCATTTGACATCAAAAATTAAAAAAATATTATATACATTACAAGAGTTGCAAATGCTGTTCAGTGTAAACCCTTTAAAGATATTAACTCAACACATAACAAATTTTCAAACTCTCTTCTAAATGATGAATTATTGTGTTTTAATAGGGCTGTATATTTCTTTGCTCCTATCCAGGATGAGAAATATGATCATATCGATAAAACAGATGTTGACAAGGTTGAAAAACTTTGGACTGAAAAATCCAATTGGTTTGGCCATAAGATGACACAGATGGCTCAGCTGAAACCCCATGAAAATCCAGTTGTTCTTGCCACGCAAGTCAGGGCCGAAAAACAGGTATGCTAAGTTATTCATCATTCACTCTTGTGGTCTAGATTTATTATCAGCATCATTATGATATTTGAGACAACTAGAATAAATTGAGTTATGATTCTGATTTGAAATTTTAGCTGCATACAATACAGCTAGTTTCAATGTTATAAACTAATTATCCATACTGCAGATAATTGCACAAATATGCTACTCAATGATTCTCATTGGACTTTTAGATTCATATATCAGAGCTAGCTTGTTTCAGTGAGTGTGTTATGATGTTTTAAAAAATCCATACTGCAGATAATTGCATAAATATGCTACTCAAGGATTCTCATTGGACTTTTAGATTCATATATCAGAGCTAGCTTGTTTCAGTGAGTGTGTTATGATGTTTTAAATGTTGCAGATTCTTGAAAACACATGTCACCCCATCATGAACAAAGCCAAACCCAAGGTAGATCCACCAAAAGAAGACAAGAAAGCTAAAGACAAAAGTGGGAATAAAAATGATGGTAATCAGAACAACAGTGAACAAGGGGGCAACCCGCAGCAGCAGCCGACAGATGCACCCAAGGAGCCCGAACAGGAGATGGATGTAGATTAAATCTGGCCAGTGTTAGTCATTCATTTAGCTAAATTATTTACTTGCGCTGTTGATTACATTTTATTTTGCTGTTGTTCAACTTTGAGGCCCTTCATTCTGTTTCAAGTAATATTTCTTTTATCCTTAACTTCCTATGTTTAATTTGTTGTTGCATTTGTTAAGACTTTTTATTTTTGTGCCCAGCCACTGGTTAATTTTTGTGTTTTTAAAAAAAATATATATAAATATTTATATATTTGTTAAACGCCATTGGATAACTTGTACTTGTTGTTAAAGGTGTTTTGTACTGTAGCCACATTGTATGTAATGTTGATGTCGGCATGCTTGTTTGAGAGAAAGTACTGTTGCACTCTGAGATGGGACCATGGAAGTCAAAAAGTAAATATCATGTTGTCCTCCCTCCTTGTTCAGAGCCTGCATATCATTTAAGTCTGTTTTCACTTAACGTTTCAATGCAAGAATCTCGATGTCATGTCTCGATTTGCAGCTTTGTAGCATATATCAGCCCTGATTATGGCCCTTGTTGACCAATAGTTGATGTAAATGGAAAATAAAGAGAAACTAATAAATGACAGTTTGTTCAGATAATAATTACAAAACTGATGATTGGATTTATTTTTGTATTGGGTGGAATATCAAGATTTTGACAAATTGTTCAAATAATTTAAAAAATTGATGATTGGATTTTGTAATAAAAAGCTGGCAAGCTGAGAACATTTCATTTGGATTTATGTTTCCTCATGTGTGAACTTTTATTTTGTTAGATATTTTCAATGTCTGTCTTTGTGGAAAGCTCGCCTAGTACTGAAATTAAAGCAATTGCTTGTTGGAAAATTTTTTCCCAACCATAAAAAAAAAAAAGAAAAAATCTGTGTATGGTATAAAAAAAATGTCTGATATAACAATGTAAAATAAGTATTTGTTTTTATGCGAACGGAAGTTAAAGAGTAAATGTTGCAAAGTTTGACTGCTTTTACAACAAATAATTTCAACTTTAACATTAGTTGTTGTTGCTTAGTGGAGTTTTCTGATAAAACAAAGTTTTAACACTCATCAATTTCCATAATTATTTGATATTTGTCTTCTTAAAATTCTAGCAAATCTGAAATATGTTTATCATAACATTTAAAATGACTTTCACTCATTTTAATACATCCTGACACAAGCTTTAAGACTTTCATCTCATGTGTCATGCCAGTCATTTATTTATTCCTCACTGGAATCTTCATTGAAATGCTGTTATTTTATTTATTTGCTAATAGAATATTTAAGCCTAAAATTATTCCAAATAATTCGCTTTGTGGGTGGAGTTATTATCAATACAAGTAGCTGGGTTGGAAACATAACTAAGCTTAATCAATGGGTGCTGGAATAAATTATAAGGCATATTATAGTAACAAATTCAGTAATAATATTGTTAGTAGGGACTACAAGACTATACATTCCAATGTTTAGGAATAGCACATTGGAATATTGAATGGGACTTCTGAAAGACAGTATGGTGGACAAAAATATCCTCTTTGGAAAATTCCTGTACATTGGGCAACTTGTGATTCTATTCAAGCCATGAGTTAACTCATTAAGCTGTATAACAATGCAAACAGTAAAGTCCTGAGTGTTATTTTGTTCGGTTAAAGATGTAGATTTGTTTGTTACGGCAGATCTGTTGATGCATTAATCATGGCTAGCCCATCACATGAATCGGTTGTACAAAGATTCCTTTTCAAAATCAGAATTTCTATCTCCTGTAATTCATTTATCTCCCCCTTGTTTCTTCACTTCAATAATTGTTCATTCCCTTTATCCCTGACTTGAATCAGTATTTAAAAGCTTGACTCCTTAATTTATTTATACAAAAAGATAAAAAAAAGTCTTCATTGGATCGCATCTTCACTTTAGTATAGGCAGTTTGTTTTGAACCAAATATGTTCAGACACCTAGTAAAATTCTGCCCTTTAGATCTTGTTTTTGTTGTACAGTGAGATTGTTTAATCCAATGATTTATTTTCAATTACCGGTATTATTTTATGCTGAAGGAATAAAAAGGAAATGATTTGTGACAAGTTTAATACTGCCAATTTGTGGCTTGGGGGCATTCTTTTAGTAACATTTTAGTCAGTGCGGCCATTACACACATTTGAATTATTTCAGTTGTAAATAAAATCATATTTTTTCATCTTTTTAGAAATAAATACCGTAATCTATTTGATTTGCCTTCTTTTTAAAAATTACCCTCAGGGTTTAAAAAAAAATAAAATTACACGAAGGCACATCAGCTTTTCCTTTTTTTTTTATAAATATAAAAAAAAGAACTTGTACAAACTTGTTTACTATTTTCATTATTATGTAATATTTTCACTGCCCAATGAAACATGTTAACACTTGCCAATTATTTGTCCAACATATGAGGGAATATCACAGACTGTAAGTGACTAGATTTTTTGGATGGTGTGGCACCAAAAATTTGTGGCACCAAAAATTTAAGTGCTATAGTGAGCTACACTTAAATTTTAAAGATGATACCTTTACCAGCTTGTTCAGGAAATTTTAAATTGGCTGCAGAATGTTTGAAGCCATAAGTTTATCCTTGACAGCACTTTTTTTCTTAAAATAGCTTTAGTAAACATAAAATTGTAGTTGTAGCTATTTTTTTTTTTTTAATGCTGAGCTGAGCTTCATCACTTTATATTTACTCGGCATTGACCGGCAATGAACCGATAGTCATAATAAATAATTGAGAGATGAGAAACTTTTTGGTCTGTGTAAAACGCAGGTGTCATTCTGGGCAGATTAAAAATATCTTTGATGATTTTAAATGGTCATATTCTGTAGATAGTCAATGCCGTACAGGTCATCATGTCTGATAGGTGAATATACTCTTCTTTTGTCAAATCTTCAAGTGATTATGTGTTGGTGGTACTCATTTTCTAGTTTGAAGTAGACTTTTCTCAGTAATTATACAATATATCCATTTGTGTGTCCCATGAAGTTACAGAGAAAATGTTTTTTTTCAATGACTGTAAAGTGTTTTATACAAGTTAAATAAAACCAGGTCTTCATTATAACATTTGCATTTTTAAAACATTTAGAGTTAAGGTTGAATTAAAGAACTTCAGAATTGGAAATAAAAAAAAAAAAGAACCCACTGATGTTTGAACTATTATTATTGATTTGTGGCAATTTAATGAACAACCCAAAAAGTGTTCTTTGTGTTTTTAACAGGTCTAGAGCCCTGATCCAAAATAAAGTGAAACATAAAGCCTTGGTTTTATTATATACTTTTTTACAACTTTCTTATTATACTCAACTCTGGGTTGGTGTGGCAGTGGACTCACCGTCTGATAAGCCATTTGATCAGTAAGACTATGAAGTATGCTGCTAGTCATAGAACATTACCGTACAACCTGGATTGAAAACTTATTGAGGGGTTGGTGAGAAATGTATTTGTCAAAAGTTGTTTTTAAAAATAGGAAATAATATATTCAAATGTAAATAACAAAAGGATATTTTAAAAACTGGACAAAAATGTTAAGATGTTATTATACTGTACGGGTCAGATATAATACATAGTTAGAAGACAGATTGTTCATCTGTTGAAATCTTAGTTGATGGTGTTAACTGAAAGGTTACTAAATAATTTTGCATACTAAGGTATTCTTCCTCTTTGCCTTTTCAACCCACATTTTTGATTTGCTGCTTCTTTGAACAGAGAAATCCCAAACAGATTATTATTTTGAAATCTTATATTTCAAGGAATAAATGTCATTTACAGTTTTTGAAGTACCATACACATACTGATGTCTTTAAAAAAAAAAGAAATGGCCAGAAAAAAAAAATGAATACATATGGGACTTAAAAATTATAATTAGATCTAGGTGTTCCCTAAGAGGGGCTTTAGAAATTTATCACATCTAAGAGGTAACCTCTGATCACATGTATTTACTAAATCCCTGGTTAGCTCCCTTCTTAAGGATTGTGTCATCTCAATGAAATTATCTTCATAATCCTTGAGATTAAGATTCAACCAGTGGCTGTGTTCCATGTGGGTGTTGTTGACATCAGCCCTTTCAAATATTGTCAGTTATAGGAAGGTGATCACAAGGACCTGTCCAGTAATAAACATTGAATTGGATGTAATATGAGTTATAAGACAGCTTTGTTACCTATCACAATGTCTGGAGATAACATTATGGATTCATCTTTAATCTATTTCATTACTAGTACTAGTAAATAAAATTGAGTATTTTAAGAATAAAAATGTGAAATCATTGCTGGGATCCATATAAATATACTATCTTCTCAACAATGCTACACGAAATGAAAATACCATTGTTTATAGCAGCAAGTCTAAATCAATTGAGAAGTGTTATTACAAAATGCCAAATTTGCTAGATGTAGGGGCATAACTGGCAACTTTTGTCAGCCCATTAGGGGCAAACTCCCTCTGTGGGTGTTGGATGGCTCCTATCTTTAGTATCTCCAAGCACACAGGGCCCAGAAAATATTTGGTAGTCTAATGAAGTCTTTGAATTCCACACTATAATTAAATTTTAGATGGAGGATAGTGAACATATTGAAATTTCTTTCTCATTGTTCGGAAAATAAACCAAACAACATCCTACCACCCCCAGTTGATGGAAACTGGTTTAAGAACCTTAATTTAAATGTGAATTCTCTTTTTAAAAAAAGAGCGATGTCTGTTAATGTTTGATTATACCCTATTATCACACCCCAAAAATCTAAAAGAAAAAGAAAGTATAAAACTACAGTCCTGAACATCGTTAGTTTTAAAAACTTGTAAAAAAACTCACATAACTAACTAGGAGAAACAAGCGCTCAACAAAATCATCACTGCTACAATAAATGACAACTCAGTCTGCTTCATTTGGTACCTCAACTGTTAAAATTTATTATAATTATACCAATTTATACATAGTGTTATTTATTTTTACTGGGTAAAATATTTTAAAATTAAACATAAGACTAAATCAACCAATTTAAGAAAGATACAATAATGTACAGCTCATTTGAATTGAATTATTTATGAAAACATATTTATAAGTTGAGCTTTTTGATAAGTGTAAATAATCCTGCAGAACAAGTAAAGCTTGTCATGTCTGTCATGCATCATGGCTAAAATATATTTTTCAAATGAGCAGTTAGGTTTTATGAAAAAAAAACGCATTTTAAAAGAGGACAATACAATTTCATATATTAGAATTTTGAAAATTAATCTTAATTGTATTCTACATTTATTCTCAAACCATTAACCCTATGAGAGCTTATGCCTACGAAATTTTCTAGATCACATGTTGAGAAGATCTCTCCTACAAAACTCAAGAACAAAAAGCAACCATTGGGGCCAAATACGAATATAGACCAAAAATAAAAATGTATATAACTTACATTCAACAATTCAATTAATTAATTGGCATTTTAAAATCCACAAATATCTCAGTAATATATATATAAATACAAAAATGAACATTTAAATCTTTCTTAATAAATATTAGCAGCTATTTGGTTACAAAGATCTTTATTTGAATCATCTATTATTTGCTGAAGAAACTGTAGCTATGCTGCCCCCACCCCTAGGTCAGTCTGTGGGGGAGGGGGGGTTAGTTACACCACAATTGACCTGTTTTTGTCACAACAGGTACAATAAATTTGAAATAATTAAGTATACCCAATAGCAACTGATACAATAGTATAGTTGCGCGGGTGCAGCAAAGGTAGAATGAGCCTTAAAATTGCATACCGGGTATTGATGTTTGTGTGGGTGAATTGAATAAGCATGTGCACATTAAGCATGAGAGTTAAACAAATACACAAAAATAATGTGTCAAGAGTCCCATCATTGCACAAAAAACGTGATGAATAAATCTACATGCTAAGCAGAAAAGCAACATGTGTCCCCATGAACAGCATTAACCAAACACACTAAAAAATACAGCTGCCAAAACAATAAATTGTAATTTATATTATTTGTATTTCCCTTTTAATGAGATCAAAAAGGCAAATAATTAATTTATAAATAAATAAATTAAAAAAATTGGAAAATTTACGAGGAGCTTGAAAATCTCTTGCATTTGATTTTTTCAAAGCAAAAGATGCAGTAAATTATTAGTTATGAATTAGATGTAAGATAAATCAATGTTGAGAATATATTAATTATTCATACCAGACAGAATCCAATGCACTTGTCTCTGTTCATTGAAAACTTATGAAAAGACTGCACCTTTCTGGACATTAGGTTGAAATAATCCAAAGGAAAACTATTTGTTTTTTTTTTTAGTGTCATCAATCAGTAATATCCCTTACCAGTTTGTAAAAAAAAATAATTGAATAAAATTGATTATTTGCAATGTAAGTGAAAATTTTGTTTCTAGAAGGTGAGAACCACTGGCCACCACATATGGTGTTAATCAAAGGGAAAATAATCTGCATAAGTGTTTGTCTTTAAAACAAGGTTACAACAACAGTATGACCTGGGGGTGATGGAGGAGAGATTACTTATCCCATTTATCAGTAAACTATGACATCATTGACCTTGACCTGTCCACTGGTCAGTTCAGTTATATGCCCTCTGTGTTAAGTGTTATGCCCATGAGAAGAATCTATCACGTAAAAATAAAATCTAATGATTAAAAATCAAAGCAACGATGAGATAAAAGCTAGTTTTAAATTTGGTTTATTATTTTTTTTTTTTACAGTTTCAGAATATAAATAAAGATCCTTCATCTACAAGATCAATTTCACACAAAAGTGCCCACAATTTTTTTATCATTTGAAATATACAATGTTCAGTTATATAGGGATCTTTTTTTAAAAAAAACCACGCTTTTGGCGCTGGCATTTTAATAGATTTGGCTTTGATTTCTAAATTAATTCTAAAAATTGTATTCAAAGTAACATCCAAGATACAGTATTTCCTCAATCACAAGAATTGAATCAATAGAGCTCTCCAACAGATTGCTATGCTCATCTAGAATACTTGATTCCCATGAAATATAAGTCACTCAAGGAGCCATGACAGTCAATTTTGCTACTTTACATCCTATTACTTGTACATTCTGGTATATTATGTACCGGTAAGTGTTCTACAAGACCCTTTTAACAGCTTAGTTAAGTAAATTCTAGCTGCATTTGCAGAAACAACAAGAATCTAGGTACCGGTACCCCATAGTAAAAAAAAATAAAAATAACTAACACTATTTCGAAATATTATTGTTAGTTAATATTTAGAAATAATAAATGAGCTCAAAAGCCTTATTATTGGTGTTCTTGCTCCAAAAGCCTGGATCTATAGGGACTGTTATGGTAACAAAAGCAGAATGGATGAATAATCAACTTTCATTCATGTGGACAAAAATCTTGTCTGTTATGTTTACACCTAATTTTAAACCTAAAAGATCTCAGGATTTAAAAAAAAAGTATATCTATTCATATTTAAATGAAATAATCCAAAATAAGAATTATGGTGAAACTATATTGATTTCAATTATTTGATAAAACAATAGTGCAGCCCATGATTTAATATGCATTAGAGAAATGTTACTAGCCTGATGTATAAGTGATTTAAAATATGAGGCGAAAAAAACAAACAAATTCAGGTATTAACCATCCTCTCATTCATGAGGTCCCAAACCACAAATTCCCCCCAAAATAAGTATTTACATATATTTACATATGTCTCATAAACATCATTGTAAATGTCAGTATTCATTTTTATTACCCCATATGAAAGTAACCGACAACACTGGTGCGGTAAATAAAATAAATTCAACAATTTCTCCCATGTACAAACAGCCATAAACAAAACTCTTTCAGTCTACATTCAAATAAAACCAGAGTTAAGGATACAAATTATTTCCCCATTTCACCGACAGTTTCAACCTTCACCAAAGACTATTAGCATTTTGTTAAAATAGATTCCCGACAATTAATAATTCTCTGTCAACTTTAATTTAATTTATATTCCTCCCTAATTTCAATTTTAAAAAATAATTTAGAAAGATATGTTTTGTTTAAAAAAAAAATAAATTGTATAAAATGAAGACCAAAAAAAAAAGAGGCAGCATTCAAATAACACCAACTTTTAAAATAAATGAAGCTGTCAAATGTGATTAAATATCTGTAGTTTTTAATAATGCCATGAGTGTCATTAAATGAAAGTAGGGTCGAAGGAAACGAAGTTTTACAGCCTGACTTTACCTTTACAAACTGATAAGATATTTATGACAGGATAATGGGTATATTCAGCATTTTTAATGTTTTGGCTGACACATGGGGGTGAAAAGAAACTTATCAGTTTAAAATTTAAAACTGTGAAATGGAATACTTCCTCCATTCAAAAGAAAATCCAATCAATAACATGATTTTTCTCATATGTAAATGAGATATTAAATTAAATATTAAATAACAAGTTATCAATTATATACATTTTTAGTTAGTAATCCAATCAATTAAACCTCTTCATTTATTTATTCCTATCTACATGCTAATCACAGAATCTGAGATGTTTAGGGAAGCTAAAAAATGGACAGATATGAGAGTTCAAGCATCTGACATCACATACAAGTAAAAGTGTTAAGAATACATAATATATAAAATGTGTTCCTTTCAAAAAGATGTCTACAACAGATGATTTATTATAACCCATTTTAAACCCATCCTTATGACAAGGACTTAAAACTTACTTGAAAAGAACAACAAATATCTCACGCAGGGACACGTGGAAAAAGAAAAAACAACTTCCACTCCAGGTTGGAGACTTTTTTTGTTTTTTTTACCAGTTTGTTTAATTGTGCATTGTTAAATTTATAAAGACTTCATAAGCTGCTCCCACATAAAATTACAAAAACATTTCTTAAATATTAAGAACTATTATATTTTTTACAATTTATTTTGCAATATTACAAGCATGTCATCAGTCTTTTAGAGAGAGGTGTTGCCTATGTCCCTTTATTAGCCAACCGGTTGTTAAAAATAATATTTGAAAAAACTACAATGATAGTAAGGTTAAGGCAAGCTTATTTTGTAGTTATCCCCTATTCACAATCCTTCCATCCCACAATTCCCAATTCTTTCATCCCACAATTCCAAATACTTTCATCCCACAATTCCAAATAATTTCATCCCACAATTCCCAATTCTTTCATCCCACAATTCCCAATTCTTTCATCCCACAATTCCCAATTCTTTCATCCCACAATTCCCAATACTTTCATCCCACAATTCCAAATACTTTCATCCCAAAAATTCCCAATTCTTTCCCCCCACAATTCCCAATTCTTTCATACCACAATTCCAAATACTTTCATCCCACAATTCCAAATACTTTCATCCCACAATTCCAAATACTTTCATCCCACAATTCCAAATACTTTCATCCCACAATTCCAAATACTTTCATCCCACAATTCCCAATTCTTTCATCCCACAATTCCAAATACTTTCATCCCACAATTCCCAATTCTTTCATCCCACAATTCCAAATACTTTCATCCCACAATTCCAAATAGTTTCATCCCACAATTCCCAATTCGTTCACCCCACAATTCCAAATACTTTCACCCCACAATTCCAAATAGTTTCATCCCACAATTCCAAATAGTTTCATCCCACAATTCCAAATAGTTTCATCCCACAATTCCAAATAGTTTCATCCCACAATTCTCAATTCTTTCATCCCACAATTCCAAATAGTTTCATCCCCTTTCCTGAATGTCTCAGTACCGTCTCTGGCTAGTGACACACCCAGGAATACGTTACTTTTTAAAATGAGAAACAAAAAGAAAAAAGTTTATCAATGTTGAAATACAGTATTTAGGCAGTACATATGTACACAACTTTACCATTTAAGTTCAAGCACTAAATTGATGTCCAAGTGATGTTATAAAGTACAACAAATTTCTACATAAGGAATACAAAATGTGATTCATCAACAGTCTCCTCCTTCATTTTTTAAAAAACCCAGCTTTATACATTTGAAAAGCCAATGTAGAACCATCAAAATAATGTCTGTTGACAGGGTGAAGAAAGCAAGAGAAGCACAAAGAGTTTGATTTACAACTTTAAGTATAAGTGGAGATAACAACTAATCCAGTTATGTTCCAGGCCCAATCCAAAACGCAGACAGGGCAAAGAGTAAAAATACTACACCTCCTATAAGTGTCACTGAAATAAAAAAAAACAACAATGTAAGTTTAAAACTTTTGTTTACAGCAGGGCTGAAAGCATTTACAGCTTTCATTGACACAAATGTCACAGTGCATTAAATACCCTCATGTTTATTAAACACCTTAGAGGGACGTTATGAAGCAAAGAAGACTTTAAATATTCAATTCATTTCAGACTACTGAAATACTTTCCATCACATCAGCATTCAGTCACGCATAAGAAAATTCTGTAACAGATGTCGGGATATCTCCTACACTAAGGTTTGAAATGGTTCTATTTTAACAGTAATGCTTTTCATGCATAAATATAGATAAAACTGTTGGCGTGTTTTACAAAAATCTAAAGGGACTTTATAACTCCTTCATAAATGTAGATCCTACATAGATTAAAACTTAAAGGGGAAAAACAAATAACAACCTTCCAGCTAGTGAAATATTAGTTGACCTATAATTCTTATGTGTAGACTACTTTGATTTACCTAACATGTCAGAATGTAACTGTCGGGTATAAAAGTAATAAAAGATCATTATACAGCCATTACCTGTCCTGACAGATATCCTCTGTGCAATGAACCTGCCCCCTAACACAGCAAGGCCAGTACATATTGTGTGGCCAAGGATGGCACCCAGAATCACACCAAACACATTCTGAGGAAACCAATGCAATAAGAGAAATATTCAGTTTTAACAGTAGTGGGTGAATTATGATTATTGCATATAAATATAAGCCCAGTAATCCCATGTTATATAAATTGACTATTCTTTGCCCCTCTAGGTTTGCATCTGGTACACACCAAGATGAACTGTTAGTTGTGTGGTGCATGATATGTGCTAAAGTAAAAAAAAATACAAGTTTAACTGTGTCTCTCTGCTTGAAACTCACCATAATACAATTTTTGTTTAAATCACCAAAATTAAATTGGTAGCATCAAAACTTATTTCAATTCAATACACAAATTAAAAAAAAAAATGTGGCATTTGCAAACACAAAACTTCATAAAGCTAGCAGGATTAAACCAAGGGCTTAATTAGCATTGAAAAACACTCTACAAAAGCAGGTTGTTAGTCCATTTTTTAAAATATAACTCCCTTTGAAGATTGTATTTCAATTCTCTGTTTGCTTGCCCACAAATCTTTGTATAAATGGATTTTTAGAACTCCCAAAGCTGCTTTCTTCCTCAATTTTTACTCACCTCCCTAGCTCCCAAGATTATAGTTGCAATCTGTGATCTGTCTCCCCACTCAGCTAAAAAGGTCAGCGTAAGAGACTGGAGAAACACTGTGGATAATATCCCAGAGACAAATCGTCTTCCTGGCGATCTGATTATCCCTGTTTCCACATCCTGTGTGGGTGTATTCTGTTTCTCAATCTGATAACACAAACAATGGTAGGTGAGGCAAAGACTAGATGAGGCATTTCTTATACATAAAGTGAAACACCTGGTTTAAAAATACTTTGCGAAATTTTCAGATTCACAAACTAAATTTCTTGGTAAAATTAAAAACAAGAAATCCTCAAAATGCTTTCAATGTCAATATAAGATGTGTAACTGAATAGTACACCAGCATCCATTTACAAAACTGAAATAGTTAAAAGTACATGTGACAGCACAAAATAATTGCAGCCTCATCCCCTTATTACCAGTAAAAATATACTAAGATTAAAACAAACAAAAAACATTACTTTTTTTGCTATTCCGAAAGCACTTATTGTGTGTAAAAATTATCTCATGAAAAGAAATAGCTATATGTCGTATATATAGACAACTTTAAACAATTATTGTAAATGATAGAAAATATAGTCAAGTCAGTGCAAATAACTAAATTATCAACAATTCTAACACTTGACCAATGGTCTCAAAAATGCCATGACACACATGAAATGGTTCAAGGTTGTTTGCAAGAAAACACAGCAATTGATTTTTTCTATTTCCTGTACAATTATTTATTAATAAACTTTGCCGTGTGCTTTGTAGCGTTCTATTTAAAATAAAAAGGTAAGGGAAATAAAGACCAAACATTTTTGGAGACCACTGCCCTAGGCCTGATCAGCAAATGGTTTATCATAATTTGTTTCAAGATGCACAATTTACACAATTAATGTTTTAAAAAATAAAAAACGTGGCCATTATGTTAAAAATACACAGCTTGAAGTTATGTGTGCATGTTACTAAAGATTCCATTTACAGCTATACAACAGTAAGTCACCAGCTTTAATTATTGGTGTAAGGGATGTATGTGTTACAATCCAAAATTAACAATAATTTTATAGAGGTGGAACTTTGTTAAGAAATTCGTGTAAATCCCAATGTGAAGGAAATATAATAAATTACCAAAAAATTAACTTCTCAAAATGGAGCTAATTACTTTTCTTCCACTTCCCATAGTTAACTTAAAGGTAGCTTCACTGGCAGCTGAAATATAAAAGTACCACCCCTGTGTGGACAAGATAAATGCTATGAGAAACAGCAGGATGTAAATCTTTTCAGCATTAAGAAGAAGCCTCAGATTACTGGAGGGGGAAAAAAGGCGAAGTAGGACTTTTTGGCGCAGGACATTTTGGCGCCATTTAAAAAAAACTTTTTATTTAACTTAACTTTTATAAACTTTTCAATAAAGAGAACACAAAATATATCAATTAAGAAACGTTTAACAAGTTACTAGTCCCATGCAATATTTTACCTTTAGCAAATGCAAAATAATCAACTTATAACAACTTAATAATAGTTAATGAATCCTGTCTAATCTTGTAACTTTCATAAGTCTTCCGAAAGTCCATGTATATTAGTCCATCAAAAAATTATGGGCAACTCTACTTAACTTATGATTTTAGTCTAAAACACTCTTGCACTTTTATAAATGTGAAGCGCACGCATGATTAGGCAGGAACGGTAAATAATGGCTCAGGCCATCTGTGCGCCAAAATGACCTGGCCAAAAAGTCACGTACCGGAAAAAAGGTACTAGAAACAAATTAGCTATAAGCGTGGAGGTTTTAGCAAAGAATTTATTTTTTATATTAAGACTAGTAAAAGTGAGGATAAATTTCTTGGATAATATAATTTTTAAAAATAGTTATTGTTAAAGAACTTGTGTATGTCCAATGTTAGTTTTAGAATAAACTATTATGCCTTTTTTGTATCACCACATTAACTAAGGATGTGTTAAGTGCTCACACATACACATAATAAAATGAGATGAATATAAAGAATATCATTAGGCAAAAGCATATTTTGTTTAAAAGATTTTTTTTTCTTTTCCAAACACACCTGTAATCAAAACTTGTGATTATGGGGTATGTCATTATATTGCGGCTATATTTTTGGTATCTTTACACTTACACTAATGGATTAGCAGTTAAGCTCAAGGTATAATGACGTAGAATGACAGTGACAAAAATTATTTTTTACATTTTCTACTTTAGTGCTCCAAAGTCAATTATCTTTTGAAAGATTCATATAGCTTTATGATACATTTGAGCACAAACAAAAATTTATCATTAAAAACATATGAAAATCAAGAGAATCACATCTGTTAATAAAAGGTAATACATCCCTCAAGCTTTATTTTTAAAAAATGGCTGTAATAGACCCAAACGTTTTAACAAAAATAAATAAATAAATAATTCACCTCTTTAAAAAACAAAAGTAAAGGTTAATACACATAACATCAACATAAAAAAAAAATAAATAAAAATATATATAAAAATCAGGGCTACCCTATTTTCATATATACTTCCTGCTAAATTAAGTTGGAGTCCTTAAAATTGTAAAGCTATGAAAAGATCCTTTTCTATAAGACTGTATAAAATGTTTGTCTTTACAGCTCCAACACTATGAGAGCTAAATTGGCCAAGTACTCCAAATAAAATGATACAGACTTTAAGTAAGTTAAATGTATGAATATATGACTAGAGCTGCTTTTTAAACTCTTCTGTTCTCTGGTCTTACTTTGAAACAATTTAATACAGCATTGGTTTGCACTAGGTGGGCTTACAATGGCTTACATGCATGTTAAAAAGGGGTGCATCCAACTATAACTGATATGACAATCCCAAATCTATTTCTCAGGCCCCAAACAAAAGGCAGAAAATATCAAGAAGATACAAAATATTAGTAGCAAGTAAATAATAAGAACAATATAATAATAACTTTGACTTTTTCCTCTTCCTCAAGCAATTGTGCATGCAGCTGAAAGAAAGATGACGACATTTCATCACAGTGATGAATGATAATAAGTTTACTATCAAAATCTAGGAGGTTTTCTGTAACTGAGTAGGCTTTAAAAACAGATAAACATTCAAGAAGGTTGCACATAAATCCCGCACAATGAATTAGCCTTTACATACAACTCTATTCTAAGCCTTCGTTCTTGAGAAATATTTCAATATATTAATATTGGTAAATAAAATTTGTTTTTGTTAATTTGATCCATTTAATTATCACATCCTCCTGGCAATAATCTTGTTGACCCGAGAAGTTCCCCTGGATCTTAGGAGGTGCTTACCCGGCATAGCTTAAATTTTTCACTGCCTTATTAATGAATAACACACAATGTGGTAACTTAAGTGAATAAAACACCTTTATTGTAGGACATATTCAAAGACATCTTGAAGTAAGAAATAGCAAAAGACTCATCCACGTATTCTTACTTGTAACTTAATTGCTAAAATTTTGTGTGTCTTTTCCTTAGAAAAAAATATCTTATATGACATAAATAAACAAACTTTGATATCTACCTAGGGAACAAGTAACTGGGAAATAATTTTTATTACATGAAGAAAATTTACACAAATTCTTCAACACATGTAGAGTCAGCTTGATCCTGGATCCTGTCAATAACAAAATATGCAAAGTAGTGAGGAAATAGAGAGAATTTAGTTGAAGTATGTCTAAAATGTCCTCACCTCATCCTCTCTACGCTTGAGATCAGCCTGTACCTCCTCATATTCCTCTTTACCTTCATCATCTGTCATATACCAACCTTAGGAAAAAAAGATAAGATGTGAGGATATCTATGTAAGTAAAGTTATCTTTGGTATGAATTTGTTCTGATTATATCACATCCCATAAATTTGTTTTAGTCATATTGAAGAAAAAGCCCCATTTTATTACAACACAAATCTTTTTAAAAATGAATCATTATGAACAAAAAAAAAAAAAAGGATACATTTTTTTTATTATAGAGGTCTCCACCCATAAATTTGTTTTAGTAATATTGAAAAAAAAACCCCATTTTATTACAACACAAATCTTTTTAAAAATGAATCATTATGAACAAAAAAAAAAAAAGGATACATTTTTTTTATTATAGAGGTCTCCAAACTACGGCCCACTGCTGTTTGATTGTTAATGCGGCCCTCTGGCTGAAAAGTTTGGAGACTCCTCTAGACCAACAAACTCTGTCAATAGAAATGGCTAATTTTGTTTAATCTACTGATATAATAATGTGATGATTTCATTGATAGGATTCTTATCAACTGAGTTAATAAACAAAAATGATGATGTACATCTGAGTAGTTGTACAGTAGTAACTTAAAAGCTTTACATACCTTCCCTCAACATCTTAAGACCAAATATTGCAAACAAAGCAGAGGACACATAGTAAGTTAAAGCTCTAGGTATCACTGTTGTGGCATAACCAACCATGGCTGGAAAAGTTATATTCAGAATAAAAAATATTGCTATGGTGTGAGAAAATCATTTGAGCAAGTAGGTTAGTTGCTCATGGAAACTTAGTAGGGAAACCAATTTTAAACAACTATTTTTCATCATTCAGAATTCATAATAATTTGGTTAAAAAAATAAACATGGTGTGTATTCTAATATGTTTATAAAAAAACCCAACAACTTATTGAACTTTTAATACCCCCCCCCCCAAAAAGTCTTCATAAGCTTTCTTAATCTGAAAGCAAAGGTCTTTAAAAGTTACTGTTAACAAAAAGATAAAGCTCAACATTCCATTTTAGTTTCTTGTAATTTACATGAATTAACTTACAACATTTTAAAATAATTTGTTTTTCTCACCTGAAAGAAAGGTCATGAAAAATAAGGCAGCCAAGGCTCCCATAAGAACTGTAAGTCTGGAATGTGTCATAGCCATAATGGCAGCAATAAAAAATGTTTTATCCCCCAGCTCTGAGACAATGATAACTGAGAGGGATGCGATGAAGCCATGTGTCAATCCAAGATTATCCTTATCAATTTTTTTTATGAACAAAGGCCCACCTTCTGACTGAAAAATAGAGATTTATATACTATAAGATCAAAATTATAAGAGCTTTAAAATAAGTTAACTTCTAAATTTTAAACATGATGCTTATGAGTTGTCTATTTTTCTGTTAAAAAATCAGTATGACATTTTCATAAAAAAAGGAAGTTTGTAACAAACCTGCAGTTTGCTTATACTTTCCAAATTAGAATTGTCTTTAGATTTATCCTCCTTGCTCCCTGAGTCCTCATCCACATGCAAAAGGTGTTTACTAGCAAAGTGTAACTCACCAGACGGAAGTACAGAATATGATAACACTTCTCCCACTTGAGCTAAGATACCCCCTAATAAAACAATCACCGAAACCCAGTGAGGGTCAAACAAAGTGGTAGCTCCCTTCATGATGTTGAACACTGAAATAATTAATACAGAAACTATCACAGTTGATTAAGAATGGTGGCTAGCTGTGTATCATTATTATTTAGTGTTAAATTGAATACGTCTTTTGGCAAGTGCAGTTTTATTTTTAAAGTTCTCTTTTTGTAAAACTGATATTTACAATCTCTATGTACACCAACATGTGGAATGGGAACTCCAGGGATGATTGTGTAGGGGAAAAGAACCTGTGGATTTACATAACAAAGCTTTTATTAAAACAAAATAAAGCCATAAGGAGCACCAAAAACAACAATATCTTAGAACAAATCTTATATAAGTTACAGGCAAATAAAAGAATTAAACTAAAATGTAGAATGACTATGTGACAATGTATAGTCTACATTTAGTGCATGAAGCAAAAGCAATAGGAAACATTCTCCATCCTAGTAATTTCTATGTCCAAGGGCTCTAACTCTAATTTTAAGAAAACCACTTAGTCTTAGACTTAGTAACAGTGCTTGGCAAATAGCCAATAATGCAAATAATTATTTTGCATATTATTACTATTTTAGACATTATAGTGAGCTGCCATTCTTAAGTATTAGTATATCCGATATTGTATAATTAAAGTAATAGAACCCAATTGACTGATACTGAAATTATAATATCGAAGTAGCTATTCGTAACCAGGTAACAGAAGTGAGAGGTTGGGATTAAAAGACTATTAAAAATTTTATTGTTGGATTTGTAAGACAAAATGAGGTCTCAAATGAAAGATAATTGAATGGACTATATGTCACAGCCTTATTATAATTACTAGGCATTTTGAAACTAGTCGACGCGTCGTTCTGTGCATGTCCTAAAATGTCGAAAATACTTGTTCCATAATTTTGGCTTACGGCATAAAACAGTTCATATAAAAGCCTAATATATATTATATAAAATATATAATACACTCAGTTCAGTATAGCCTAGGCCTAGGTATAGGATTGGGCCTTGGCAGCCCTAGTGCCCTAGGCTACACCTTTTTTAGGGAGTGCTTTATATTATTTATAATAAATTTATATGTCAATCAATAATTATATTAAAAAATAATATTGACAATATCATTATTTTTTCTAATAATATAAATTTAATTTTAATAAAAGTGAAAGTATTCCTATGAATTGTTAACTACAGGGCCAGATATTACTAATAAAACACTAATATTAATATTACAAATAAATATAATATTTAATATTTTTTAAAATAATATTGAATATTAATTTAAAATTATTAATACTTTATTATTTATTATTATTTATATTTCACCAATCTGCCAATCAATCTATATTAACTATTATTATTATCAATGTCAATATGGAAAAAGATTTTGAATGATAATAAAATAATAATATAATTTAAAATTATATATATTTAAATTTAATATTTAACAGGCCTATTCACTATTTACCATCATAAATTGTCAAAAATTATTAAATAAAATAAAAAATGGCAATAATGATTAATGATAACTAGTTAATAAAATAACACACACAGTAACACAGTGATTTGAGTGATTTAAACAATAAATAAATAGGTTCTTTTAATTAAATGTGTCTTAAAATGGCGCAATAGAGGGCCTTAATATATTTCTTTCTTAAGTTCCCACAATTTCATATTAAAAAAAAAAAATTAAAATAATGTACCTTCTGTGAGGTCCCTGGGAACAGAATGTCGCAAAATCCACTAAAGCCTTCGCAACATGACACGCACTTCAGTAAGTTTCGTCCCTTTAGTAGAAGTTCCTTATTCCTAAATGACACGTGATTAAAATAGTTCATTAAGAATTCTTACAAATCAAACAAGAGTTTAATATATCTAAATAAAAATTAAAAAAATAATATTAATTTAAATATATTTCAAGCTTTCAAATAAAAGTTATCACTAATAAACTATATTTAAAAAGTTTTAAATATTCCTTTCACTTTAAAATAATTTCATTAAAATAATACTAACTTTTTAACTAATCGATCTTCCGCTTGAACAGATAAAATTTAACTTTTACTTAACAGCTCAGCTGATTAAGAAAAATTGTGTTACTCATTTGTTGTACAAAACAAGGTAATCAAAGCTTAAGCCTATGTAATATGTAATTATTAAGTCCCTTAAAAAAATAAATATCCCCTATATTTATATAAAAAGTATTTATGTTCTTACTTTCTGATTTGCCATTGTCATATTTCCAATTTCCGGGTTGAATGGGTGGGGTGTTTAACTGTTTAGTGGGCTCTAACTAAAAACTTATAAGTTAGGAGTTAGGAGGCCATCCATAAATGACGTCACGTGCCTAAAAAAGGAGGGGGGAAAAGGGGGGTCAGATTTTTGTGACGAGGGGGGGAGGCCCTCAAGCAATGTTTAAAGAATTGCACTTATATAACACTAAATTACAGACATTTTTAACATTATTCTTTTATACAATTATAATTATTTTATTTTTAAACTACTATCACTGAGAGAATCAGTACAGGCAGGGCCAGGTATAGGGGATGGCGAAGTGGGCGACCGCACGTTGCTGTAGTATATTTATAATATACCTCAGCCTGCTAATACTAATAGTTCCTAATCCACAATATTCGGAGTTATTAGATTGTCAAATGGTCTGAAGGTCAGTCTGGCTACCGTTATGACGCGTCCCATTACCCATTATGACCAGCAAGGCCCCAGTATGACTATAACATGTCTTAATATCCTATCGGCGGAATATATAACGTTAACAGGTATGTGCAGTCCGAAGAATGGCCTCTGATCAAGTTACAGGATGCCAAGGAGGAGGGGAATCGGAGTGTAATTACAATGACAGTCGTGAGAATTTATGGCTCAATGTCGACGTGGGAAGTGGGATGGAGCGTAAAAAAAGGTTGACCCCGGGATGGGGGTTATCTTAGAAAATGCTCGTAGGGCAGGGATTCATAACCTTTTTTGCAACGTTGCAGGCCCACTCTGTTTTAAACATCCCTCCCCCAACCGTATAAATTATATTGTAATAAAATTTAAAATAATTACATAATTTAGCTATTGTAGTTTTATTTCTTTAATTAACTTTTTATAAACTGGAAAAAATTACCAATACACGCAATGCGCCAATGAAATTCAGCATTAATGCTACTCATCAAAATCCATAAAAACTTGCTTATTTTTATTTTTTAGATTTGTTATTATTTTTTTTAAAACTAGCAATGGCAGCAAATACAATCAGTGGCGTAGCTAGGGTTGGTGTCACCTGGTCCGGTTAGCTCGTGTGTCACCCACCCACCCCCTTTTCACGATGTATTTTTTCTTGTTAAACTTAGTCCACAGTATAAGAAATACAAGAACAAATTAAATGAAGCTAAGGAGGTAAATGTATTTCAGAACTGTAACTTGTACTTAGAATCGCCAATTGTTATCAAAGGATAGTTGTATTTCTTAGAATTTAGATAAAAATAGCTTCCTGAAACTTACAAAAGTTACTGAACACTTCATTCGGCATTAAAACAAGGTCAAAATGGCGTGTATAATAATATGGTAATCTAATTGCCAGGGCATCAACCTTGAAATTTTAACATTAACGAAACACGAATTTTGATTGGTTACATGGGTGGAAAATATACGTGTCATCTGTTATCCTTTTATGAATTTCGGTTAGACCGAACAGTGTGTGCTCTGTAATTACGTTATTTTTCAATTTGGTGTCACCCCCTGAGATGGTGTCGACCGGTGCAGTCCGCACCCCCCTAGCTATGCCACTGAATACAAATGTTTGGTCTTCCACACCTCAAGGCTGGCAAGGTACTTGTACCCCTGATTAAGAACCACTGATCTAGTGAAATTTTTCTGACACGGGTGCAGTAATTTGATATCCATGGGAGGCGAATTTCTTAAGGGTTTGTAAAAGACAGTAGTGGACACAGGGACTTTTATATGGGGGGGGGGGGGGCGGGGTTTTGTGATGTTATATTTGAGGGGTGTATAACTTTTTGTGACGATTTGTAACAATGGGGGGAGGGGGGTAAAAATCGGCAAAATTTGCGTGACGTCATTTATGGATGGCCCCTTAGTATTACCCCCTATTATCCTATATATAGATTATGAAGTTTTATTGATTTGAAAATGTGTTTGGTTTTAGAAACTGAAAATTTTCGGGACACCGGGTACGATCGTGAAAAAAAAGTGACAATCCCGTTTTTACGGGACGTTTTGTCACCCTAAATACTAAGTCACTTAGTCATTGTTTTTAACGATCCCAAAGAATTTAAATTTATTCATGTCTTTAGGGTTATTTGGTCAGCCTAGCTCATTCTTATATATATAAGCAGTTATATATTTTTTTATTTTTACTATTTATTTGTGTAAATTACATTATTAATGTATTTTTTAAAAAGTCCACTGAAAAGGGGGGGGAGGTCCAAAATATGGGCCCAAGTAACGTCATGTCATATATGGATGGTCTGTTAAAGATATCGGCTTTAAGTTCCTTTGCAATTTCTTTACTAAATGATATATATATCACAGTACTTCACTGCTTAACAATGTGGTGGTATGTCAACCAACACTTCAACATTGTTTGGTCTTTATGAATAATACCACTCTCCGACTATTCTGTGAAGCTCAGTGTAAAAATAAACCTAGGAAATTTATTAAAAAAACAATTTTAATCTGATTTATACAATCTATTTTCTAATCTAGTGATAGTGGCTTCCTTATCAATACATGAAATGATTTTAGAGTGAGTTAATTATCATAATTGAATACAATCATTGCCAGTATAATCATTATCACAAATAATAATTGTTTAGGTATGTACGTATGGCTGTACCAAAGTGTTCAATAGGCTCGCAAAATAAAATTCCCAGAAATTAGCACTAATTGGGATTCTTATAAAGTCGTTATTTGAATGCATGCTTCGTCAAGTAACTTTAAAAGATAAGAAGTTCACACATTGCCACGTCTACTGTTTAGTGGGTTATTTCTAGTGATGAATAAAATTAGTTAATAATATATAAAATTTATGTGTTCACAATGTTAAAATCTTATAATTGAATGTCAGTGCCGGTAGATTATTAATCTCAATTAATTAAATACACTAAATATCCCAAATTCATAATTCATTTGATCTGTTTCTGAATAATAAAGTACTTTATAACCCAAATACATTATTATAACTAATATCCCCAGATAAATAACCTACAAAGCAGTATGCAGAGGTTAGATCCTTTTAGAGCTGATGCCAGGTCCTGGCCAGAACTTGTGGGAAAGGTATGTGTTAGAAAAATAATTTTACAATCATTAACTTGAGCAGATAACCAAATTTGCTTCTTTAAAGTACATTTAAGATTTGAAATTAAAATATTGAAAGACTGTAGCAACATTTTAAAGGCATAGTGAAGTATTGTACTCTGAGGTTTAAATGTTCTGTATTTTATTATGTAAATTCTACATTTATAAATATAAAATGTATTACTATTACTTTCAGACATTTAATGAAGCAGCAAAGAAAATTAAAGAAGATTATCCAGAGGCCCAGGTGTGTGAATTGCATTGTAAAAAAGGAAATTATTTTAATTTATTCTCGTACGGTAATTATTTTAATGGGTATACCGATAATCTAAGGCAATTTTTAATTTTACTCAAGTAACTGAGTGGTGAGTGGGCCGCAAAGAGTTTTAAATATTAAGTTAGTTAGAAACTCAAGAAATTCAGTTCCTCAGATTTATATTCTTTTATTTATACTTAGAGTGTTGTAAAAAAAAAACAATAGTAGAAGAAAAACCTAAAAAAGAGGACAACATAAAGTATCAAAATGGCGCAGCGAACAATGGTGTACTTCGGGCTGTGATTCAAACTTTGAATGCAAAACATGTGGGGTGTGCTAGATAAGTAGTTTTGCGTGAGCCTATTGGAGAACAAATATCTCATAGCAGATCAAGCCTTGTTATTTTGGCAGGCAGACGGTGGGAAGTTTTTGGTTAATTTACAATCCTTAGAGGCTCCAATCCCAACTAAAGTCTAAACCCCAAACCAAAACCCTGAAGACTTGTGTGTTTCTTCACTTTTAGTCTCTGCTATCTAAGACACACTTTTATTTTTATATAAGTAAAATTGTCTTTGAGATATAACCCATGGATAAATTTGAAAAGACTCTAATTTGCTAAATATTAAAATATCCTCTTAAAGAGTGATACTTGCAAATATACTCAGATATAGATAATTAAATCCATTTTCCAGACAACATATAAGTTATAGCATAATTCCCTACGGTTTCAGAGCAATAAATGATTGAACTTTTACAAACAAAAAGTGCTAAATAACGGTTCCCTATCTGAGCCTGCATGCTCGGGTAGGACAGAGAGAAGCAGTTCACTGTTGCTATTGGCTGACACCCGCCACCCCACCCCTCCCCTCCCGAGGCAAAATTCCATACTGCCACACTCAAATTTTTATTCCTTCAAGTGGCAAAACAGTCTTTAAATGCTAGCACATGCAAAGATGAAATTGGATCTATTTTAACGTATGTCTATAAGTGCCATTCTCCCCCCCCCCCACACACACACACATTGTCACACATAGCAAGACACCTCATTATTCATTGTCAAAAATATGTGCATCCCATCAGTTATGGATATACACGTTTCTGAAGAAACAGAGTGTGGCAATAACTAGATATATTACTATTGTGTGATTAAAATTTTTTTTTTAGTTTAGTACCAGTATTTTACATTTGAAAAAAATGTTCATGAGGCTTTGTGTGGATGTAAAGTTTGGTCTTGCAAAAGTTAATTACTCCTATTTCTTCATTAATTTCTCTATATTTCTTTGATAGCATTCACTTTATAAAGGTTTAATGCTCTTAGTAAATTTAGAGCTTAAATTATTAAATGCCTTTCTCTGATAGGTAATTCAAGTTGCTGAAAATTCCATGGTGACTATGGACTTCCGACTTGAAAGAGTGCGAGTTTTTGTGAATGCAGCTGGAGTGGTTGTTCAACCTCCAACTACTGGATGAGACTAATGGGAGAATTAACACAAATGCACAGTGAAGTAGGAGGCTATATTTCCCAAGAATTTGTGTTTTTACATAATTGCTTACAGTGCAAGTGCAGCACATTTACTCAACAAACTATTTAATAATAAATAAACAAGAATGCCAAATTAATAAATGAGACAAAGATAAGATAAAAGTGAAAGACCAAAATGGAACATGACTAAATCTTACAAATTAAATTTGCTTTCTTTCCTAAAGAAGCTGATTAAGTGTCATTAATTAATTTCAGATCAGAGAAATTGCCTTTTTTTAAATTGTTGTTGATTTGTTATTGATTCATGAATATTCACTGTGATAATTCTACTATTATGATCTTACTTAATTTTGTTGTAATTAATTTATTTGTTTATCTATACAAATATTTTGATTTGTGTAGAAAATGAAGTTTTTGCTTAACTTTGTTTAAAAAAAATCAACGATTCATCCCTATTTATGACTCTACGTGTAATGATATCAAAGTATATTTTTCTTCCCTGGGGCAAGTTACGGTGTTTTTTAAAATTTGTTGCAAAGGATTAAAAAGGATTTGTTTTTGGAGATAATAAATTAAATTACTACTTTATCCTTTTTGCACAATCACCTCATTGTCTATAAATTATAGGTAGTTATTCATGCAACGAGTGACAAAGTCCTATTTATGATGTAAGTGACTTTGATCCTGTATCTTTTTTGTTTTCTGGTGCAATAACAACAGTAACTCTTTCTGTTATACTCATTAGACATAGCCACATTATGAGGGCTTGTTTTTGATAAGAGCTCTATGTTTATTCTCAAAATTGAACAAAGCCATACAAAAATTGTCCTTATTAAAACTGTACAACCTCTTTATTGTGATTTTAATTTTTATATTTTATTTTTTCAAATAAATATTCAATAGCTGTCTACTAAGAATCTCACAGACCAAATGGTTTAGATTTTGTAACAAATGTGGCCATTTACTTTAAAAGAAACTGAACTCAGGAAGTTTAAAGCCATATTAAACAGGATATATTATGCTGGTATATTTTTAAAAGAAGAAATGCATGAGTATGCATCTCCAGGTTTTTAAATAGTGTATTTTCAGTCAGTGATATGACCATAAGTTATGACACAAAATAAAGACATTGCTAAGTGGTGTACAAGAATCACATGTTACATGTGTTAGTGAATGCCTCGACTTTTGAGTTGTAGGACCTGCTTTCTAACATTTGAAAAATACTATTCAGATTTTTTAAACTTCAAATTTCTTTGATTGAAATTAGCTGAAGTGATTAGAGTAAAAATTATATCATGTAGTTGTATTTGTAGTCACCAATATTTACAGGGCTGTCTAACTTTTAATGGAAACTTTCTGTTGACACTATTTAATTCTGTCAACATTGGTCCACTAAAGATTTCAGAGATTAAAAATATTTCATCAATAGCTTTTTGTTAGGGTAGCCAGCAAATTGGTCTGTCTTTTTAAGAGCATCTACAATAAAGTCAAAATCATATTTTTTATTATTTTTTTTTAAAATAATGAATGTTTTTTATTTGTTGTTCCAACTGTGCCTTATAAAAAAATTATTACTCATCTATTTATCCTGTGCTTATTTTAACAGGCAATAATTTAATGGTGATTGAAACTAATCAAATAAAAATCATGTATAAAACTGAATTGAATTTATGTTATTTTTAAATATATATATTTCCCCTTGTAATATTTGTGCTTTATGCTGGCTGTGATTAACAGCCACTATCAGTGGTGGACTGGAGTTGCTCATAGCTCGGGACTATATTTAAAAGCAGTTTTATCTGACTTAAATTTTTCTTTCTGGGGTGGTGGTGAGTAGTTTTATCTGACTTAAATTTTTCTTTCTGGGGTGGTGGTGAGTAGTTTTCAGTCAAGGTCACAGATGAGACAGTCATAAAATAAACTATAAATTGAAAAATCTTATTTCTTTTGGACAAAATATTAGTAAAAAGTTTAAATTTCTATTTCAATTGATCCCATATCATTGCAAATATTTATTGTCGAAGCAATATCTTTATAAATTTATATTTAACTCCTTAGCAGATGTGTGGCGTTTTGCGGTCATGTGATAAAGAAAAGGCGTAACGAACCGATTGAGCGGGGTTCAGTTATCAGGAAATGGAATTTAATAAACTTTATCTTTTATTTTGTTTGTTATTCATCTTAATTTGATAATTATACTGGTCAAATAATTGTTAAAGTTGTATTATCTTTAAGTTTTAAAGTAGAAAATACACTCATTCATTATTGTGAACTCCTTTAAAATACATTATGTGGCTGGTGTTGATGTTTTGACTTTTGCCGTTACAACGTATTATGCCTTATTTTTATCTAAAGTCCCTATCTGCTGCCCTTTATTAGAAGATATACTTTATGAAATGGCGCTTTCCTTTAAGAAGGTTGCTGACATCTACGTTAAAGTTAAAGGTTATCACCGCATTATAGTCGCTCAATAACTTTATCTGTGACACATATATTTTTTATTATTGAGCATACACTGTAGATGGAGATACAATATGCAAGCATTATTCTAATGCAGAAGCGGTCCAGTATGCTCATATCTTACTATCAGAAGTGGTCCAGAATGCCCAAATCTTACTGACAGAAGCGACCCAGACAGAAGCGGTCCAGAATGCCCAAATCTTACTGACTGAAGTGGTCCAGAATGCCCAAAACTTACTGACAAAGCGGCCCAGAATGCCCAAATCTTACCGACAGAAGTGGTCAAGAATGCACAAATTTTACTGACAGAAGCGGCTCAGAATGCCCAAATCTTACTGACAGAAGCGGCTCAGAATGCCCAAATCTTACCGACAGAAGTGATCAAGAATGCCCAAATCTTACCGACAGAAGTGATCAAGAATGCACAAATCTTACTGACAGAAGCGGCTCAGAATGCCCAAATCTTACTGACAGAAGTGGCTCAGAATGCCCAAATCTTACGGAAAAAGCGGCCCATATTGCCCAAATCTTACTGACAGAAGTGGTCAAGAATGCCCAAATTTTATTGACAGAAGCGCCGTGAAGCGGTCCAGAATGCCCAAATCTTACCGACAAGCAGCCCTGGCGGCCCAATTGTCATCAATCAGCCTGCCAGGATTGTTCCCAGTGTCCCGGTGGGCCAGCCCCCCACTGGCCACTATTAATAGTTGGCATGTAGTTTATCCTCATGAAGACGGGTTTGTCACTGTGCGTATAAATTGTTCATCAGTTTCTTGAGTTAAAGAAAATGCATTTATAAGTTAAAGAAATAATAACTTCATTGGCACTTGATCAATATTTGTTTTCCTTCTCTTTCATGAATGAAATCAGTTTAATTGCTAACCATTAGATAATATTTCTTTGTATCCCCTGACCCCACTGAGGTACAAACAGGCGAAGTGCAAAATAGGGACTTTGGAGAGAAAAATCCAGCAGTTGAGAGAGTTCTAAAATGAATGATAAATGTAAAAAATGGGAAACAGAAAACAGTAAATATAGTCATATTTTTATATTTATTGAATATGTGTATCAACGGATAACTGTTTAATGACTTTAATCACAATAGAGCTACAGCTTACATGCAGCATCTCCAATGTCAAGGGGAATGACAAAGTATTAACTAGAGAATAAAGTACCAGGGCGCTACAATGTTGCGTTCTCTCCCCTGTCCTGCATACAATATATACCAAAGATGTCTGGAGCCTAAGCAACACCGTTCCATTAAATTTACCGATTATACCACCGTCGATGGACTGATACCTGAAGGGGAAAGCTTATACTACCGCAACTTAGTTACACGTTTTACCAGTTGATGCGATGAAAATTTTCTTCAGAAGAATGTCTAAAAAAAACCGAAAGAAATGGTTGTCGTTTTCCAGAGTGGAAATTACCCAATTTCAGATCTCACAATAAAAAAAAGAATCACGGTATAGGGCAAGTTGAGACATGTAATATAAGTAGCTAGGTTTCACCATTAATAAAAAAAAATAAAATGGCACGCACAAGGCCACATTTTGTATAAAAAGTAAACCAAAGACTTTCTATCATACAAACAAAAATTGTACTATTTCGGAGTATAAAAAAAGTTATTAACATATAACTTATTCTACAGTGCAACAATTGGAATATGTGCAAACCAGTAACTGACTTAATTAACTTATTAATAACTATCTGTAAAGCTACTAATATGTCACATTGGGAGATGGCGTCAGTGTGCCGTCAAGCGTGAGCTCGTAATGCCCTCCCCGACGCACCTCCACACAGCCGAGACGCCGGGTCTCCTTGACCCCATACCGTGCGGCGGCACGCCAGGGACTTCCCCGGACCTGGACCGCCCCCACTCGCAACCGCTTGATCGGACTTAGTTTACGCCCGGGGACGTCCTGTCGACCGAAAACGCTGCATTTAAAGTGTTCACAGCCGACTCTCTCAGGGAGTCGGGATGGTACATTAACGTCCTAAAATGATCCCCTACCAATCTCAGGGAAACGTCGGACGCCCTATAAGAGGGTTCTACAGTGGGTTTCCACCCCGCAACTTGTTTGTGAAGTAGCTGGGACGAAACGGTTGCCTAAGAGTAGCTTTCTCAGGGCTGCGTGTTTAGAATCATCGGCTAGAGGTTTCCCCCTTCGTCAATAGCCCCATATCCATTAACGGCAAATTGTAATCATGATCCCTACCCTGTCTCTGCCTTTACTTCCAACTGTGAAGCGTCACAGTTGGCAGTCCTGTAGGTGCTGTTTTATTTCTGACAGGTACCATGCATCTCCCTTGTCTGCCTACAGGGACACGCAATGCTGGTCTTGTTCCCTGGGTAACGTCCAGGGGGTCCGGTGGCCGATGCCTCCTAATCGGCAATCCACCACAGACTTGTCAACCGGAGCTCCTTCTAGAGCTACTAAAAGGCTTACAATTTATAAGTTTATTAATTTGTATGTTTTTCATCCTTGGCACGAGGAGATAATCAAAGCAATTTTTGACTTGAGTAGCAGCCTTGACTTGAACTCTATTTTGTTTAAAGTGAGGGAGAATAGCTAATTTAGTCAGCCTCGCTCTCTCCTCCTTGTCTACTTGATTCAAAGGCAAGACTTGGTCAACACGACTGGAAATAAACCAGGATGCAGTAGACGACCAGAAGTGTCTGTGTCTCTTTCAATGTGCTCTTTATGCGCTCTACGTCGCAGGAGTTGTCGGAATTTTCTTTGCGTCATGTCATACCGCCAACGGAACTCCATCTCCTTGTCTAGTAAAGGTTTTGAAGTAACTCTTCTCTTTTGTAGTTTAAAAAACAATATAAAAATACTTAAAAAAACAACAACAACAATTTATTATAAAAGTGTTGGACAGCAATTATGCTTTCAAGTAGATTAATGAGACACACACATTTTTTATTTAAAAAATGTGAAAATAAAACACGCACGCATGCCAACTAAAACTGAGGGAAAAGAATAAGAATGGGCAAAATTCTCTAACGATAACAAAGCTCAGAAGAACGGCGAGAAAGTGGGTGGAAGTAAAATTTGAAAACCAAGCAAGAAAAAGACTTGGCAGCTATGTAAAATTGATTACTAAGATAAAATATAACAGTAACTGCATTGTATAGTATTCTATTAAGGTTGCCACTATTGAAATGTTAAGAAACGGAAAAGAAAGCTTGTTTATTGATTTTGTATAGGTTTTCTCTAAAAACGGTCTCCTAGGCGACGACCTATCTTCCCTACCTATGACTCTCCGCACTTTTTACAAAGGAGGATGTAAATCACGTTGCGACTTGTGTAAGAAAAACTATCTTTGATTCTGAATATTTCCAGATGGAGAATGATCTTATCATTTAGGCGGATAGACTTTCTGAAGCTTAGACTAACCGAGACTTACTGAGAGAAAGACTTAGCGATAATTGTCGGTAGACATACAAGACGTTTTTTTAATATTATTGTGTGTATAACTAAATATAAAGAACCCCCGGGGCAAATTATATGAAAGAGCACTGTAAGTTTATATGTGGGTTCATGAGACAAGAGATTTTCAAGACTAAAACTTTTAAAGCACTGTTTGGGGTTACCATGGAACAGTCCAGACTTTCTGGTCTTGGGTTTTTGTCAATTGAAAGCCATAAGGTGAAAATGCTGACATAATTAAGTGATCGAAATGACATAATGAAGTGATTGACAGATTTGCTTCTTTGAAGACCAGGAAGTTGAAGTTTTCACTGTAAATTTTAATTTGCCAATGATAAGTAATTTTATCGCATTTTTAAAACACTGTTACCACATATCCTGCGATCTATCCGCATGTCTGTTGTTGCTTTAGGAATTTATTTGCAAACAATACTACACGCGATTCTGTATCACCTGGTTAAGAATTACTGGAGGCATGTCCGGTTGCGGTGGTGGTGGGGGGGGGGGAGGAGGAGGAAAGGTGACACCATGAGTTTACCGCACCGGGTGACACCAACGCTAGTGACGCTTCTGTCCACACCTGTTACTGTTGTTGCTTTAGGAATTTATTTGCAAACAATACTACACGCGATTCTGTATCACCTGGTTAAGAATTACTGGAGGCATGTCCGGTTGCGGTGGTGGTGGTGGGGGGGGGGAGGAGGAGGAAAGGTGACACCATGAGTTTACCGCACCGGGTGACACCAACGCTAGTGACGCTTCTGTCCACACCTGTTTGTCATAGATCTCCAAAGACCAGGAAGAAATAAGGAAGAGCCATTGTTGAATTAAAAAAAAATCTGAATCGAGGTATTAAATTAATATTCATAATAGTTAAAATATACTAGAAACGTTCCCTGGATGCTCCATATCATATCAGATCATGGGCTTTCTTAGCAAACAGCCTGCGTGTGCAGCAGAGTTGACACGGCAGACGAACTCGTTCAAACATATTATGGATCGCATTCTTATCTTTATTATTCAGCGAACCGTTGACGCTCCTATGTGTAGCCGTGTGGTGAAGTGTCGCACGTCTTTCATGCCGAACACGACACACCAAAAACTAACGGCTGGCAGACAGAGCTCAGCAGAAGTGTAACCGGAACGGAACTGGTTGAAATAAATTACACGGTGAAAAAAAACAACATGCCCAAACCATGCCACTGAAATTGTTTTTTGCTTCGTAACATGGCAGGCAGTCCGTCGAAACAGGATGATTTGTTTTTACAGGGAGAACGTCAAAGGCTCTACAAATAGAAGTTGCATAAAAGTATAAAGGAAACGACCCCGTTCTCTGAACAGGACGAAAATGTTCCTACAGGTTAGTTGGCATGTTGTTTAGTGTAGTTATACAATTGAAACATTTTTTTAGCATCCATAAAAAAAACATAAATGAAAGGACAAACAAATTATTGAAAGTTGGATTAGCGATAACTGAAACTCGATGAGTAGCCATGATTTGAACTTACCTCATTGGGGCCGAGAACATTTTTCTTTAATAATCTTATTTTAACCTGCCAGACAAGGCATCACCTTATTCTGTGCCTATAGGGCAGCGGTTCTCAACCTGTTGGTCGCGACCCCTTTGGGGGCTCGAAACCAGTGATTATTTCAGAAATTTTCCCCTGGGGGGCACTTCAGATTTTTCGGGGAGGGGGGCAGTGCCAGCAGTGCCAGTTGATTTTATTGTCGGACATATTTTTGCTCCGGATGGCGGGCACTTGGCTTTTCCCGGGGGCAGTGCCCCCCCCCCCCGAGGGAAGAAACCCTGCTCGAACGACCCTCAAAAAGGGGTCACTTAAGACCATTGGAAAAACACATAATTATGAAGTAGCAACAAAAAATAATTTTATGGTTGGGGGTCACCACAACACCAGGAACTGTATTAAAGGGTCGCGGCGTCGGGAAAGTTGAGAACCACTGCTATAGGGAGATCAGTTGGTAATCACAATCACATTATTACTTCTCTTAATAGCATTAGAGCACATTTTTAGGAATTGATAAAAATTATAAGCTTATGATTTGTAAGAGTGGTTTTTTTTTTTACGGTTAAAATTTCAGAATTATTCTATCTCCTATTGATGATATTTTACTATTTTTTGTATAATTGTTTTATTAAAGGTAATAATAATAAAAAAAATAGAAAGGTCCTGCCAGGGATATTTGATAAAAGTTGACATAAAGATCATATAAATAATAATTAGAAGTTATGCTTCAAGTTTGGACAAGCTGGATCAAAATACTTGTCACAGAATCAATTCTCTTTGTATGAAAAGAAAGTATGGAGAGTAATGATGAGTTCAATAGCGCGCAAAATAAAATTTCCGACAACTGCACCAAATGAGATGCTTAAAAAGATCGCGAGTGCGTCTGGGGCGTAATGTTTTCTTTTGTTTGATGGAAATATTATCAATTTAAATCTGGCGTGAAAAAGGGGTGGTGCATTAGAATATCAATATTATCTAGGTGTGTGAAAAAAGTGTGCGAAGGCGTACCCTGGTGTGGGATGTGGGGGTTGGGGGGTGGGAGAGTCAGCACTTATTGGGAATCTTATAAAGTGTGTTACTTGAATTGATGTTTTTTTGTGTTTTTTTTTCAAATAATTTTAGTAGATGGGAAGTTCGCGCATTGCATTCGCCATTGTTGAACTTAATAAAAGCAAAAAAAATCTTGATTATAAAATTACTAATTATAGCCCGCCAAACATTGTCGACGGCAATGCGTGAACTTCCCATCTAGTAAAGTTACTTGACAAAACATGAACTCAAGTTACGCACAGTTAAGAATCCCAATTCTACATCCCTCCCCCTACCCCAATGACACGTCACTGCGCACCTTTTTAATTTCCCAGCCATGAACTATTTTAATATTCTGATGTCTCAACCACTTTTAAACCGATTATTTATTATTATGGCATCCTTCCGTCTACGTGAGACGATGGAGTAACTATATAGTTCTACACTTGGACGAGTGGCTCACTTGGCCGATCCTAGAATGGCAATCACGGCCGCATCTCTCGCAGGAGAATGTTGAAACCCGGTAAATTCTTGATTTTCGAATTGTTCTTTTTGATTCGAGGGCCTCGTTTCGAGTAACGTCGCCCTTTTTACTCCTTCAAACACTGCTGTACGCCAGTTGGAGCGATGTTCGGCAATGAACTCCCATTCGTTTGTTTCAATATTGGCTTCCCTCATGCTTCGTTTGCTAACGTCAATAAATCTCAGGCGCGGTCATCCAATATGTCTTGTCCCCTCTGCCAACTCTCCATACAGCAGAATCTTTGGGATACGTCCTTCCTCCATTCTCCGTACATGACCTAACCAGCGAAGGCGTCTCTTGATAAGAAAGGAGAATATGCTAAACATGTGTGCACGTTCCAAGACCTCCACGTTAGGCACCCTGTCCTGCCAACGAATGCGCAAAGTGCGACGCAGACATCTTTGATGGAAGCTGTTGAGTTTCCGCTCCTCACTGTGGTCCACACTTCGCTACCATATAGGATCGTGCTAAGCATTATTTATTACACCGTATTTAAATTGAGACGATTCCTCTTCCGACAAGAAAATATTACGCACCAAACGCAGTTGAATTATAAAATAAAAATCGTTTGGCGTAGTTAGCGGGAATTATATTTTTCGCTTCATTTAACTCAATCTTGAACCATAGTTTCTTTCAGAGAATTATATGTAATATAATTCATTTTATTAATTTTTTTCCAAACCAATGATTCATCTGACAAACGTCTCTTTATAAAATAAAGAACTCCATCACTAGCACACCATTTCTAACTACGTCATCACTGCTGCTCATGCTAAAACATAACAACATTAACAGCGCCATTTTCCCATACCAAATCTACGTCACAAAACAGAAAGTAAATAGCAAAAGCTACGAAAATGATCTCAGTACCAAAACCATACAAATGGGCAAAAAATCCTTTAATGTTTTTAATTTTTACCGATTAGATTCATTAGCTTAGCATTGTCCGACTATATCGTATTTAGTATCAATGGAAAGCTTCGTTTCTCAGAATTTAGATAACTGTAGCTTCCTGTCATTTAAGAATGTTACCAAACACTTCAATTGGCGTTGAATAATGGTCAAAAAGGTGTTTTTGACGGAGAACCTTGAACTTTTACTAAAGAACTCATTTGGATGCGTTACAAGTGAAGAAATCGGTCATCCTTTTATGAAATTCGGTTAGCCGAGCAGTGTGCTCTGTAAATATGCAATATTTCAATTTGGTTTCACCCCCTGAGATGGTGTCGCCCGGTGCGGTCCGCACGCTCTACCTACGCCACTGTATGCAACTAAAATGAAAGCGTGAATGAAAAGTGAGGACTTCAGCTGACATTTATACGTTATTTGTGTTGTGATATAAATCAGTGATGTTAGCACTGTCTCACATCAGTCATGCAAGACTTGTTAGCAATGTCTCACATCAGTCTTGCCAGACTTGTTAACAATGTCTCACATCAGTCATCCCAGACTTGTTAACAATGTCTCACATCAGTCATGCTAGACTTGTTAGCACTGTCTCAAATCAGTAATGCCAGACTTGTTAGCACTGTCACACATCAGTAATGCAAGACTTGTTAACAATGTCTAACATCAGTCATGCCAGACTTGTTAGCACTGTCTCATATCAGTCATGACTTAGCACTGTCTCACATCAATAATGCCAGACTGGTTAGCACTGTCTCACATCAGTAATGCCAGACTAGTTAGCATGGTCTCACATCAGTCATGCCAGACTAGTTAGCACTGTCTCACATCAGTAATGTTTTACTTCTTAACAATGTCTCACATCAGTCATGCCAGACTTGTTAGTACTGTCTCACATCAGTCATGCCAGACTTGTTAGCACTGTCACACATCAGTAATGCAAGACTTGTTAACAATGTCTAACATCAGTCATGCCAGACTTGTTAGCACTGTCTCATATCAGTCATGACTTAGCACTGTCTCACATCAATAATGCCAGACTGGTTAGCACTGTCTCACATCAGTAATGCCAGACTAGTTAGCACTGTCTCACATCAGTCATGCCAGACTAGTTAGCACTGTCTCACATCGGTCATGCCAGACTAGTTAGCACTGTCTCACATCAGTCATGCCAGACTAGTTAGCACTGTCTCACATCAGTCATGCCAGACTAGTTAGCACTGTCTCACATCAGTCATGCCAGACTAGTTAGCACTGTCTCACATCAGTAATGCCATAGTTGTTAACACTGTCTCACGTTGTCTATCTGACAAAATGTTTAAAAGAAGAACATTTTTAGAGTTTATGATTTTCCTTTTCTAAAAACATTCATGAAAATTTTGAATTGATAGTAGGTCGTTAATTTTATAAAGTTATTTGTTTTAAATTTAAAAAAAAATGTATTGTATAATTTATTTCACTATTTCAATATGATCTTTATTGGTTTCCAGGGTCAATCATTTTCGGAAAAAGAAAGATGTGCGTTTGAGTTTAAGTTTAAGTTTGAGTCAAAAGCTTAGGATTTTCAAATGAAATATAAGAAAAAGGTATGCTAAGCTTGGGATTTTCAAATGAAATATAAGAAAAAGGTATGCTAAGCTTGGGATTTTCAAATGAAATATAAGAAAAAGGTATGCTAAGCTTGGGATTTTCAAATGAAATATAAGAAAAAGGTATGATAAGCTTAGGATTTTCAAATGAGATATAAGAAAAAGGTATGCTAAACTTAGGATTTTCAAATGAAATATAAGAAAAAGGTATGCTAAACTTAGGATTTTCAAATGAAATATAAGAAAAAGGTATGCTAAACTTAGGATTTTCAAATGAAATATAAGAAAAAGGAATGCTAAACTTAGGATTTTCAAATGAAATATAAGAAAAAGGTATGCTAAACTTAGGATTTTCAAATGAAATATAAGAAAAAGGAATGCTAAACTTGGGATTTTAAAATGAAATATAAGAAAAAGGTATGCTAAGCTTGGGATTTTCAAATGAAATATAAGAAAAAGGTATGCTAAGCTTAGGATTTTCAAATGAAATATAAGAAAAAGGTATGCTTAGCTTAGGATTTTCAAATGAAATATAAGAAAAAGGTATGCTAAGCTTAGGATTTTCAAATGAAATATAAGAAAAAGGTATGCTAAACTTGGGATTTTCAAATGAAATATAAGAAAAAGGTATGCTAAGCTTGGGATTTTCAAATGAAATATAAGAAAAGGGAATGCTAAGCTTAGGATTTTCAAATGAAATATAAGAAAAAGGTATGCTAAGCTTGGGATTTTCAAATGAAATATAAGAAAAAAAAGGTATGCTAAGCTTGGGATTTTCAAATGAAATATAAGAAAAAGGTATGCTAAGCTTGGGATTTTCAAATGAAATATAAGAAAAAGGTATGATAAGCTTAGGATTTTCAAATGAGATATAAGAAAAAGGTATGCTAAACTTAGGATTTTCAAATGAAATATAAGAAAAAGGTATGCTAAACTTAGGATTTTCAAATGAAATATAAGAAAAAGGTATGCTAAACTTAGGATTTTCAAATGAAATATAAGAAAAAGGAATGCTAAACTTGGGATTTTAAAATGAAATATAAGAAAAAGGTATGCTAAGCTTGGGATTTTCAAATGAAATATAAGAAAAAGGTATGCTAAGCTTGGGATTTTCAAATGAAATATAAGAAAAGGGAATGCTAAGCTTAGGATTTTCAAATGAAATATAAGAAAAAGGTATGCTAAACTTAGGATTTTCAAATGAAATATAAGAAAAAGGTATGCTAAACTTAGGATTTTCAAATGAAATATAAGAAAAAGGTATGCTAAACTTAGGATTTTCAAATGAAATATAAGAAAAAGGTATGCTAAACTTAGGATTTTCAAATGAAATATAAGAAAAAGGTATGCTAAACTTAGGATTTTCAAATGAAATATAAGAAAAAGGTATGCTAAACTTAGGATTTTCAAATGAAATATAAGAAAAAGGAATGCTAAACTTGGGATTTTAAAATGAAATATAAGAAAAAGGTATGCTAAGCTTGGGATTTTCAAATGAAATATAAGAAAAAGGTATGCTAAGCTTAGGATTTTCAAATGAAATATAAGAAAAAGGTATGCTAAGCTTAGGATTTTCAAATGAAATATAAGAAAAAGGTATGCTAAACTTAGGATTTTCAAATGAAATATAAGAAAAAGGTATGCTAAGCTTGGGATTTTCAAATGAAATATAAGAAAAAGATATGCTAAGCTTGGGATTTTCAAATGAAATATAAGAAAAAGGTATGCTAAACTTAGGATTTTCAAATGAAATATAAGAAAAAGGTATGATAAACTTAGGATTTTCAAATGAAATATAAGAAAAAGGAATGCTAAACTTGGGATTTTAAAAGGTTGTGCAAAAAAGATGGCGCATACGAATAAAGCTGAATATGTAAACTCTCATATTATGTCAAAGTTGACATTAACTTTAGTTAACAAATCTATATCCTCTATAATTATCCATTTTTTGCCTGTTTCTCAGCTTTCCAAGAAAACCGTTATGCGGCTGTCTTGCTGCGTGCTGGTCGTGATGATATTCTCCATGAGTTACATCGCTTACAGTGGTCGTTTCCTGGTCCCGGTGCCTGCCAAGGCAAAGAACAATCTACAAGACGATTGGCCGAGGAAAGTCTCACAACACTTAGGTGCAAACAACGAAAAGAAAACAACGGCAGTTAAATCATTGAAGCCTCACCTTGACACACCTGTGGGGAACCCAGGAGATCCCACAACGGTTGAATCTCCGGGATCTTCCTCAAAAGTAGGATCTGCTCCGAAATTCGATTTTAAAGTTTTCAGACAGGAAAATAAATCTTTTAAAGATGAATCCTTGATACTTGGGAGACAAGACACTGTTCTGAAATCGCCAATAAAAAATTCCCACAATGGACAAGAATCTGGGCCACAGTCCGACTTGATGTTGAACACAACAAGAGCTTCGCACTATTTGAACTCATCCAAAAGTTTATCATCAGACATTTCTGAAATTCGACCAGTAGATGCAAGAAATAATGTGTCACTTATCACAGAGCTTCCTATTGAAAGTTTGGATTCGATCCACGAAACTCTGCCAACGATACACTATAACTTCACCATTCCCAAAACGAATTTCACTAGATCGCCGAGACGCTCTTCTCATGAAGTTAAAACAGTGACTCTCAAGCCACTGATCCTTCCACCTCCACCACAAGTGGAAACCACGTCGAATTCCAACCACACAAAATATCTGGTGTACCTGTGCGACTCCAGGAGTATGTGTGGGGGCTGGGGGGACAGACAGCGTGGCATCGTGGCCGTGTATGTCCTCGCCTGGTTCACCAACCGTCAGTTCAAACTTGTGATGACCAGCCCATGCGATCTGTCGAGCTTTTATGTGCCAAATAAGGTCAAGTGGCAGCCGGATCCGAAAGAGCTGGACCCGCCTTCGGATCACAACACGATCAACAACTACGGGAGGGAGAGGGAGATGCTGTACAAGAACATCTCAAGCGGGGATTTCAACGAGCATCTCCCCCAACGAACGCTGTATATGAAAACCAACAGCGACGTGTTCTCCCATTACAGGTACAACCCAGCCTACGCAAGTCTTCTGAAGACGTGGACCGGATTGCAGGATGAACGGACGCGGTTTCGATGGGCATGGTCAAATCTTATGCAACCAGCCCCGCCCATGCTCTCAAAATTACAAGGTATTTTAGGTCCAGGTTTCCTCGAGAGAAAAGGTCTGCTGCACGGATCATCCACCAGGAACATGTCAAAATCCCCTCACGACGTTGGCGGAGCCCACTTAGTTTGTGCACACGTCAGGATCGGCCAGAACCCCTCCTTACCCATGGACGGCCCGTTCACTGCGGTAGAACTAAAAGATATTCCGACGCTGCATAAATTTATGTTGTCGAAAGATCTCCGAGGCGACGCCCGGTTTTTCGTAGCCACGGATTTCATTAACGTGAGAATCAGATCACACAATTATTTTGGGAACAGATTTGTGGAGCATGGCGGGAAAATTACGCACATTGACCGACAGCGCAGGGGAGATGACGTATGTGGTGGCTTCGAAACCGTGCTCATTGACCAACTGATTTTGAGCTTGTGTGACGTACTTATCGTTAGTAAAAGCGGATTCAGTATTAGGGCTTCATTTATGCGAGACTCCTCGGAACAGGTTTATATATTGGAGAATGGGGACATATACGAGTTTACACCCTAAAAACTTAGAATGTGCCACTGTTTCCTATGTTGAATAGCGTAGTTATTAGACAGGATGGAATGTGAACATTTGATAGATCTGTCATGGGACAGGAAAGTATGTGAAAATTTGATCGCTGTATTATGGAACATGATAGTATGTGAACATTTGACCGGTGTATTATGGAACAGGATAGTATGTGAATATTTGATAATTATGTTATGGAACAGGATAGTATGTGAACATTTGATAGATGTTTTATGGGACAGGAAAATATGTGAACAATTGATAGATTTTTTTTGGACAGGATAGTATGTGAGCATTTGACCTCTGTATTATGGAGCATGATAGTTTGTGAATATTTGACCTCTGTATTATGGAACATGATAGGATGTGAACATTTGATACATGTGTTATGTGACAGGATAGTATGTGAACATTTGACAGTTTGTACTTTGTTGAATAAAACACGCTAAATAGCTCCATGATATTTTTTAATGGACGATTTTCCTAATCAATTTCGTGTATTGGTAGCCTACAGCTGCTATGTTGTCCTATTTAACAGCAGGCCAAAAAAAGTTGTTAGCCTACAGCTGCTATTGTTATACACCAAACAAACAGATCTAAACTACAACCGAAACAAACCCCACACAATAAGGTGCACAACTGATGTCAAGTGGTTATAGGTGACGGTAGGTAGCTACAGGTGATGCTAGGTGGTTACAGGTGATGCTAGGCGGTTACAGGTGCCAATGGTGACACTACGTGGCAGGCCTGCACAACTCGAAATCTAAGGCGGGCCGTAATACTTTTTGAAAAACTTGTGCGGGCCAAAAGAAAATAGGACAAAGACTTGTGCGTGCTGAAAGAAAATAGGACAGGGGGGGGGGAAGTTATTAGGAAAATAATAAGAATAAAGACTATTTCGTTACTTCGCGGGCCGCAAAGTGGGTGCTGGCGGGCCGTATGTTGTGCAGATCTGGGTTTTAGTATCGATGAGGCTTGGGTGGGTTCAAGTGAAGGGCGTAGATTTTGGGGAGAGTGGTAGAAAACTGGTGAGGTTCGGCGTCCAGAAAGAAATCCATGTCAGTATTCTGAAGAAAACCTTCAGTGGGTCAAGCGGCACAGTCTTCGCGGTGGGTCAAGCGGCAACAGCTGTGATCGCGAGTCTTCGCGGTGTTCAATTTAAAAATAAATCCCTCTACTTAAATTTGCCGTTGATTTATTTGAACAAATATAATCATTCCATCTCTATGCATCACTCGCTTAGATTTCCCGGCGGCATGTTGTCAAGGCTGAAAGTACAGGCGCGTGGTGTAGCCGCTAGCAAACACACGGGTTTTTTAAATATAAAATTGACCGCTAGATCTAATTAACTCTGGAAGTCCTTTTCCATTACGGATGAAACTGAAGTATACCTGAAGGCCGGCATGAGCTGTGAACAAGCCGTCGCAAGGTGCTTCTAAAGACACACGGTCGCCTAGTATTTAAACTATATATAGGTTAGTACTAGGGAAAGGGAAAAAAAAAAAGAAAAAAAAAAGTGAAAACACAAACACCCTCCTAGCGACAATTACACACATTTCATACTGTTACAATAAATGGGACTGTTTGTTTTACAACAAAAGAAAATGGAATGGATTTATTAACATAATTGTTTTTAATTTATTGTAGCATTCATAGCGCTCATTGTGAAATGAACATACAATTTATATGTTAATATTTCTCAGAATGATGTCAGTGCATTTAATCTTTTCACTAAATTTATTGATTAATTTTTTTTAAAGACGCAGCTACATGCTAGTTGTAGGTTGAAGCAAAACATCTTTGAAATATTTACGTGTGTTTCACTACATATGTCTTTGACATTAGTATGTTTGTTGCTAAAAATATAATTTGAATGAACTGGAATCTTGATATAAAAGAATGATTGCTAAAATCTCACTGATTAAAACATTTCAGCATATTGTTTTTCCTTTACAAGTGCTAATATTACAATTAAATGTAGTATTCATTCTCTGTTATAATATATATATATATATATATATATATATATATATATATATATNATATTTTACGTCTGATATTAAACACCGCATAAACCGACTAATCAAGAAAGCTAGAAACATAACACAAACTAAACATCCTTCACTTGAAGAACTACTTGAAGGAAGATGTTTCTCTAAAACTAAACACATTTTGGATGATACATCCCACCATCACAGATACTTAGGATCGGGCCGTTCGGGACGAATTCTTTCCATCAGGGCGAGGACTAAAAGATATAAAAATTCTTTTGTTCCCCAATCAGTACGAATTTACCGGTGTGCTTCCTCTGAAGTCACACATCTGAATGAGAACTAATAAGTCCCCGATTTTGCTAAGAGAACTCACTGAATGGCTGTTTGAAATAATTTATTATAAATGTCTGTGTTCAAATTAATTCTTGTGCTGAAAATGTACAATGCAATAAAAAAAAATTTCCATTTATTTGGATCAATAAATGAATCTTATCTTATTTTATAGTATAAATAAAATCTATACTTAATTTATCTTTGCATTACTCTTAAATTTTTTTTTTTGCGTTTATTTGTTCCAGTTCTCTAAGAGAGCGACCATGCTGTTTTCCTGTGTGATGATTGTCGTTGTTAGCTTTGGAATAGTTTACCTGAACTACGACAGTGCCAAATGGATCCAACATGTAACCAGAACTGACCCCAAAGAAAATACGGACCTGGTTAATTCCACTTCAAACGTCACAGGAACTATAGACTTTATCCCTAGAAATGCCAACAGTAAAAGTGCTTCAAAAGATAACACACATTTAGCTGCCACCGTTCGTAGAGCCACTACTCCGAAGACATCTACAACTTCGGTGTACAGCAATCTCACAACACGACCGTACAGTCAAGCGTTCTCATCCAGATCTCCTCAGGTGAAAGGTACACAAAGGCTGACTAAAGTCCCAACGCCTGCAATCAAGACCATTAAAGATACGACCACCACAAAACAGACGTCTCTTCCGGATAATTCCACAAACAACAAAAATCCGACGACGATGCGGGCGACGACGCTGAAGTTTCCTGTCCTAGAAAGAACTCTGCCAACGGTGCACTTCGCCTTCACCGTCGCACCACACAACCACACCCGGGCGCCTAAAAAAATAATTCCCCGGCTCAAACCTCACACCGCCACGAAGCTAATCCTGCCGCCTTCCCTTTCTCATGCGGAGGTGACGAGCGCGTGGGACGAGCGGTACCTTGTGTATCTCTGCGACAGCCGGAGCTGGTGTGGTGGTATGGGGGACAGACAGAGGGCCCTGGTGTCGCTCTACGCCATATCACGACTGGTCAATCGACAGTTTTACCTCATCATGTCCAGTCCTTGCGATCTGAGCAATTTTTACGTACCGAGAACCTACCGGTGGCTGCCCGACACGGATGAGCTAGAACCGCCCGGTAAGAACAACACCATTGCCGCCAGCACTTACAGAGAGAACGAAAAGTTCACCAGAAGTTTGACCGATGGAGATTTTAACGTTAACAATCCCCAGAAAGTTATCTACGTCAAGACAAACTACGACCTCTTCGGTTTCATCAGCAGGAATGCGTTTTACTCGAAACTTCTGGAAAAGTGGAGTGGCCTGCGAGACCCCCGCGAGAGATTCCACTGGGCCTGGCACGAACTCATGCAGCCTTCCCCACAACTCATGTCGAATTTGGAGCGCGTCTTAGGCAGTAGATTTTTGGGAAGGAAAGGTCTGATGTCTCCGTCTCAAGTCAAGGCATCAGAGATAAACCCGTTCTATGACGTTGGGGATGCGAAACTCATCTGTGCGCATGTCCGGATGGGTCAAAACCCATCATTACCCATGGACAGCCCATTCACAGCCGTGTACTTAAGTGCGATACCAAAGCTGCACAAGTTTATGTTGTCAAAGGACGCGGAAGGCAACGCCATGTTTTTCGTGGCAACAGACTACATCAACATTCGCATCAGATCCCACAACACGTTCGGGAAAAGGTTTATAGATTATGGCGCGACAATTCTGCACATAGATCATCAACGGAGAGGAAGTGGCGTGTGTGAAGGGTTCGGGGATGCCGCCTTGGATCAGTTGATCTTAAGTCTGTGTGACGTACTGGTGGTGTGCAGAAGTGGGTACAGCCTCAGGGCTTATTTCATGAGCAACATCACCGCGCCTGTGTATATTATAGAGAATGATGAAATTAATCTCTTCGATGGGAGATAAGAATACGGTAATAGAATTTAAGGATACTGTAGAAGCTATCTTTATTTTAAAAATTGTTGTTGTTGTATTTTACCTCACGCTGAATACCATAACTATGGACCTGGGTTTCTTTCAAAATTTTGATTTAATAATAATAAAAAAAAAGAAGATAATATTAAAATGGCTTGTTTGTCTTGAGCTTAAATTATATTCCAGACCTGAGTCTAATGTTGAATGATATGTGTTGCGAAATGTTCAAATTACCTCAAATAATCTCAACAAGCCCCAATAATATAACGTAACCCCCACATAATCTGAAGTGACCACAGATAATCTGAAGAAGCCCCCAATAATCTGAAGTAACCCCCAATAATCTGAAGTAACACCCAATTATCTGAAGAAGCCCCCGATAATCTAAAGCAGTGGTTCTCAACCTTTCTAGTGCCGCGACCCTTTAATACAGTTTCTCGTGTCGTGGCGACCCCCAGCCACACAATGATTTTCGTTGCTACTTCATAGCTGTAAAGATATGTGTTTTCAGATGGTCTTAGGTGACCCCTGGAAAAGGGCCCCGTGACCCCCAAAGGGGTCGCGACCCACAGGTTGAGAACCGCTGATCTAAAGTAACCCCCGACAGTCTGAAGTAACCCCCAATAATCTGAAGTAACCCCCAATAATCTGAAGTAGCCTCCTTAATCTGAAGTGTTATGATGATTCATTAACTGTACTTAACTTTATAAGAATTCAGGCCATGTTCAAAACTGATTTTTATAATCACTGACAGGTTTTCCTCTTCAGCAGATCAGATCAAGAGCAGAAGCTTTGAAGGGGGTTTGCATCATGCTATAGCCTATCATTCAAAATACATCTAAAACTGCCCCCTCCTATCCTAACCAAATTTTTTACTGCTGCCCCCCCCCCCCCCAAGCTTTGAAGGGGGTTTGCATCATGCTATAGCCTATCATTCAAAATACATCTAAAACTGCCCCCCCCTATCCTAACCCAATTTTTTACTGCTGCCCCCCCCCCCCACCCCCGACCCACCAAACTGATTTTGAATGTAGAATATCCACTGAAATAATATTATTTAGTAGGAATGTCTTTAAAAAATTCCCACCAAGATAACGTTTGCTGTGACACTGTACATCTGATGCACTATCAACATTTCTGTTTACGTACAAAAGACTTTAGTAGAAATATCGACATTTCATTTTATGCAACTTATTTGAAACTTAATAAAAGCGTTTGTGAAATTGTTTCTTGACTGTCTACCTGTCAACCCCACACCAACTACGATACACCTTTCTGTACAACCCACCTTTCAACCCCCACAACAACTACGATACACCTGGCTGTACAACCCACCTTTCAACCCCCACAACAACTGCGATACACCTGTCTCTACAATCCACCTTTCAACCCCCACAACAACTGCGATACACCTGTCTCTACAATCCACCTTTCAACCACCACAACAACTGCGATACACCTGTCTCTACAGCCCTAACTATATTAAAAAAAAAATAACCTCAACCCAACAGTCAAGCTTCAAGGTAGACAACCAAGATTATGATCCTTCAATAATCGAATCAAAGCTTAATTCATGTCTAACACTTTCATTATTTTTTTCAATCGTTTCTTGATGAAAGAAGAATGTCCGATGCATTTTGTGGGTACAATTATATGAAACTAAATTTATTTGAAAGCCTTGAGGGTCGCACCTACTGACCTTGGGGCCTTTTGGGAATGCGAGGTCCCTCAAAAAAAAAAAAAAAAAAAAAAATCAGAACTGAAATCATGACAAAAATTTTTATAGTTTATTTA